TTCAGACATTCATCAGTGATCCACACACAGTTTTTCTCTTCCTATCTTTATTTTTTGAAAAATGGTTATGAGCCTTTACCTTCATTTCATCATTTCTATCCCAAAATGAAATTTTGCCATTGATTAAATGATTGATATTTTTGCACCAATTATTAATAAAAAATACTGCACATTTCTCTGTTATGAATTCTTTTAGTTGAATTTGGTGTTCTGTGCATTGTAAAAAATTTAAATCTAAATTAATCTTTATGATTAACTTTATATATGTCAAAATATTTTTTTTTATTGCAATTTTCTTTTAAAACTTCTATTGTTTTCAGCATTGGCAACATAGTCAAATAGGTTTCGGGTAGGATAGCACAACCAGCTTTTGTTTTCAAACTCTTTTAAAATTATATAAGTATGAAATATCTGCTTTTCTTTAGCTTCTATGTTGTTTTTACATAATAAACAGCTTATATAAAAATTTTTCTTTGCTAATTGTGCTATCCAGCCACTACAGTATCCAATTGCTGCGGATTTTTCTACTTATTAAACTTTCTGTATTGATTAAATCAATGCATAAATGAGCATTTTCAATTTCAACTTCACATTCAGTGGGTATATCATCTACGTCTTTAGTCAATAGTTCTTTTAGTGTTTGCAGACAAACGCTATCATCCATTTCGCAATTTGATCCCACTGAATGTGAAGAAGAAATATTGTCAATAAGCAATGTTTTAAAGGCCCCCTCAAAAGATTGTGATGTAGGCATCGTATTGCTGCAGGCATGAGCCCTTATTGCCCCAAAAAATTTCTCCAATGCGTCTTGGTTGAAATTTCATAGCAATAATGAATTTATGCCTTTTGAATTCAAATAAATTAAAATTCTTTTGAAGTTTTCTACTGTTTTTATCCAGCTGGACAACGATGGAACTATCCCATGATTAATTCCATTATGAAACCTCATGCTCCTTAAAACTGGAAGGCTTTTGTTCCATAATTTATGATGAGGCGATGTTGGTGTCACTGCTGTCCTATACGTTTTCCTCCCTTTTGGTTTGCTAAAGCTGCCATTGACACTGTCGAATAAGTCATCAAAAAACATCAACAGGTCTGCAGTTTCAGTGCATTCTTTTTCAAGAACTCCAAACTCTGCAATGAAAATATAATGTTTGTTTAGGTTTGTAATGGAAAATATAAGTTTTTAGTTTATAGTATGTATGTACTATGTATACCAGAAAAAATTTCTATAATAAATCTGCTCTCAAATATATAATAAAACATATGGACTCTAAAATTTCATAATAATAATAATCATCATCATCAGCCCTTTTACGTCCCCACTGCAGGGGCTCAGGCTTTCCTTGTGGATGGTTAAGGAGGATGGGCCATGACCCTCCACGCTGACCCAATGCGGATTGGAGTGAATAGACGACTGTAAATGCAGCCGGGACCAACGGCTTAACGTGCCTTCCGAAGCATGGAGTAGCTCGAGATAATAATTTTTTGGTCACCCATCCCATGACCGACCCTTGCGAAAGTTGCTTAACGAAACGATCGCGGGCCGCGGCGCTTACCTACTACGCCACCAAGCTATTCTCATAATAATATTAAAAAATATCACCTGTCATTACTCCAATAGCAGCTCCAACAGTTTTACTTAACACCTAAGTGCAGTGTTTCACTCTCATTTTTAGTAATAATGATGGCACTACATGATGAGCTGTCAACTTAGGTGCCATCTTCACTCCTTTGTAGCCTGGGCATCTTTCATATAATTGTAGAATGTGATTCCACTTAGCAGTACATTCCTTTCCATTCATGTTATATTTTAAATTTTTTGTTAACAAATTATACCTGATCCCTTTTATTAAATGAGGTGGGTCATAGAGTGAAAATACTTTTTGTCTCCAACTTCGAAAAATCCTTCTGTATAGTGCTGCCCTCTTCTCAAATACATTTCGTTAGTCTCTTTTAACAACAAGTTTATAGCAGCAATATTTGATGTAGTTTGGTCACATACTGCTGCTACCACCATAAGACCAGTTTCTGCAATTTTAATAATCATATTCTTTATTAAAGCTTTAAGTTCCAAAGCTTTAAGCTTTAAGTTCTTGTACTGCCACTGCAAAAATAATAGGCCAGTGGCTGTTTATATTTTTTAACAATGCCTCTAATTAAGAAAACAAGTACATGGTTACTGTACTATTTGCTTCATTGCTCCATTATCAACAAATCCTGTGATATTTTTTTTTTTATTAAAGCTGATGCTTGGTGCTATTGCCATTTCATCAAATACCAAGGTGCAGTATTTAAATTTATCTGGCATTCTCCTAACTCTGGATTTTAGGTTGTCAAATAAAATTTCATTTATGCCTGCCTTTAACTGGACTTTATACAACAAAGTCTGCAATGTTTGTCTACTAGGTAAAATACAAAATTTTCTTAACAGACGATACGCCTTAGGTGCAGGTTTGTATAATGATAGCGCTAAAATCTTTTCATCAATGGTAAATCGATGCCCTTGCTTTTTCTTATTTCCATGTGACATTTGCATTCGGCAAAATAATTTTGCAGTAGGTGACATATTTTTGGAAATTATTTGGAAAGCAGAGGTTTTCATTAAAGATTTAGCAAGAGCCAATTTTTGTTTAAAGCTCCTTTTTTGAGCTTCTCATTTTTTCAATTTATTCACAATTATTTTATATTGTTTATGGTCTTTTAGAGAAACACCTGCAACAAATTTCATGAAATGTAAATTAAAGCCTCAAAAATAAATAGTTTCTTTTTTTGCATTACACACTGTACAAAAATATTCAGAATAACTGAATATTTTTCAGATTTGCAGATTGTTTCCAATTTCATGCAGCAATTTTCAAATTGGATAATTGAGATATATTTTTGCAAAACATACCTTTTAATTTTCTTGGCAACTGTTGTTTGGCAACAGGTGTTTGTGTCTTTCCAAGGTTTGTATGCTGACCTGGAAATAATAACAAATATAGTTATTTCATGGATATCATTGGCTTATCAGTCTCTGGCTCAAAATATGTAAGATTGGCCTATGTTACACAACATAGATTTGCAATTTTGAACAAAGGGACATTCAATTTTGTATAACTATATGTTGACTCATGAATTTTCCTTTATATAAAAAATAATATTATATTTAAGATGATTATTTAACTATTTTAATTTTCATCAGAAAAACGTTTACCAACCTGATGTGCCGGCATTTAGTTGAGAAGGTACAAAATGTGAGCTACATGGCAAATCCGCACTTGCAACTATGTGAGGTTCTCCAGTTGATTGCGCTGAACATGAAGAAAAAAACATTTTATAATATTTTATTTTATAATAAACATTAAAAATTAACATGGAAATTAGGAGCATTTGAACAATGGTATAAGAAACTAGCTTTCGCCCACAAGGTCTTATATTGTACATATAAACCTTCCTCTTGTACCACTCTATATATTGATGAAAACCACATTCAAATACATAATGTTTTTTATAAGAACTCAGCTTATAGAAAACGTATTTGTTTTCTACTATTTCATTTTTACTTTAAACTTTTTATAGTTTGAAAAATTATTCACTGGTCATTGTTAATCACATATGAATGAATTTTAATGCATAGCCTGCTGCTTCCATCTTTAAATAGATAGGTAGTCATTCAATATGCAGTATTATTTATAAATAATAAATTACCTGACATATGAAGTGTAGGCATTGCTATGTTGCAGTCTATTATTGGGATATTTATAAATATCTAGAAAATGTTTTCCACAAATATGCATGTTATTATATATTTTGATTGGATCCAGATGAGTTATTTCTCCACCAACATTGTCTAGCCATTTTTTAAATTTCTCTGTTTTAGTTCTAGGTTCAGGAAACCGGTGCAAAGGGATACCTGAGTAACATAATAATATGTATTATTCTCTGCTATTCACACAACAAATTATTAGTCCTTAATTATTTGTATAATGGATGAACAAATAACAATTCTTAAATTGTAGGCACATAATAAGTTTTTTAATGAATATTGTATTCTACGATAGCTCAAAGAAAAATACCTGAAAAACATTTGAATTATGAAACTCCACGTATAGGTATAAAAATCGGTTGAAAACTTTGACATTATAGTACAATTCATAAAGTATTTATTGTACAAACTAAAAAGCACTTACCGCTATCCTTAGTCACTGAACATTAAAGTACACAACAACGGTTTTGAGCCATGATTTTTTGAGCAAAGTTCAAATTAAAAACAAGTAACATTTCGGTACGGGATATTTCAAGACACAATACGATTGCTAACACAATATATTTCGATTACACGGACGAACTTAATCAACTCAACGTGAAAAGCAGAAAAAGTTACAGGAACTTGCAAAAACTAACAAGCACACGGACATTCACTCAATACATTTTCCATTTGCGAAGTTAGTTTTAAAGTTTAGCCACAATACCAAACCATTACATACGCGCCATTTTCAATTGATATTGCCATAGTATATTTAATATTACCACTTAAATTAGAAACATTTCTAGTGACAATTCTATAATTACTATATTATTCTGTAACAAGATATATTATTTCAATAATATTAGGTATCATAAGGCTTTTTAACTAAGTTTCAAGTAATAATAAACAAGATTTATTAATGATGCCTTTAAAAATTATCCCCAATTATAAACACATTTATTTATTGTGGCTACACCATGATTTCTATTTTAAAAGCTGGTACATAGATGGCACTGTAAAGTAAAAAAAAATCGAGTTCTAAGTTTGCACAAACAACGGGTACAGGCGTGGCCCTTAAATTTTTGAATTAAAAGTTTATTTATCGTACAAGTTTAAAAAAAAAAATACTTAATGTAAAATCAATGTTACATAAATGTGGTATTAATATGAAATTCCAGTTTGAAGTGGTATTAACACAATCCTAATAGGAAATAAAAATACTGTAACTGTGAACAAATATTTTATAAAAAACAGTGTTAATTCGGTCATGTACGGACGGAAGACACCTTCTACATACCGATCTACACCATCTGTGTATTCTCATTACACAGGAAAGTAAGTGAAATATGAAATTCATCCTGTTTCTAATATGATAATCATACTTTATTTTGGCTCATTGTTCTTACAGCTATCTAAATTAAAGAAAATTTAAGTTTATTTACAAACTTAATACCAGTTGGTACAATAATTCATAGCTTTAGAATTATATTAAATATTTAAAAGCATATTTAGTTATGTGAGTAAAGGTTTTTTGAAAGAATTAAATCACAAGAAAACATCAAAGTTATTATACCATACCCGGAGACTGTAAGAAAAGTAATTTTTTTTCATATTGATTCCCTTTTATAATTACTGTTACAAAGATATTGACTGTTTCTTTTTAAGGTCATCAACAAACTTGCGTTCAACAAAATCTGTTCGATCATTGAGAGTGCCATGGTACCAGAAGCCTATATTACATGATGCATATTTCCTTGATCTCCAAAGGGGCTCATTGTTGACTGGGTTCATCTCACTTGTAAGTTTACACAATATTATTATTTGCTAAGTCAATGTTGAAGATTTTTAACCTATAACTAATAAATAATTGCAGACAAACTCACAGAAAAAAAAATAATGGAGATGATGCCTGGGTTAAAAACAACAAATTCTATTTAGTCTGTCAATCAGACAATAGAAAAATATTAGATATATGCATATTATTAGATATATACCTGCCTGAGTTATATAATAATATACAATAATATCTGGATAATAACTAAGTTTATATTAATATCAAAACAAATATTGAATAATAAATATAGTTAGTCAATGTAGGAGAAAGATTAGCCTCAAAATTATGCAACTAAAACATATGAATTCTTTTCTTCTTTTCAGTTTATAGCTCTGTTTACATTTGCACACAGCGTGTTTGATCTGTACTGCCTGGGTATGGCAGCGCCTGGGTCAGTCCATTATGGTTACTACATAATGAGTTTCCAGTTTGTTTATGTGGGAAGCGCACCAGGTATGTAATTTGCTTGAAGTGGGAATTGGGTAGTTGTTGTAGAAATTGCTGGGATAGTTTTCTCCAGATTACCATGAATATAAGAGATTTAGTTCTCAAGATGATATACATTATGTGACATTATCTAATATTTATAATGTGTTGTTTCCAGTTCGCAATGTTCTGATAGTCTTTGCTCTGTTCTCATGGGTTGGATCTGTTGCGGTAATTGTGACGAGCATTATTCTCATAAATGCTTTAAGAAAGGTATTCTTTATCAGTTCTTTAGTTTTCAGTAAAGTATAATTTTCCATCATACATTTTCATTTATGTCATCATAAAAACACATCAATCATGATCATTCTGCACTTTTCATGCTAACAGTATGTGATGCAAGCTAAGAACAAGGTAATATTCATATGTTCACATAATTTCTAATTTGCTGTTAGCACAAGCACAGATATGGCCATTTATTACGTAAGATGATTGAGGGAGGGAGGGGAGGTGGAGGGGAAGGAGAAACTGAAAATTTAAGAGATACAATAAGAATTTTAGATCACTAGATACCTAAAAACAACTATAATTTTTTAAATTATTTTACACCTATCATGTTACGTTATAAATGACACCTTAATTATTTTACTATTTTTTATGAGTAGCTCGGTGGCGTAGTGGATAAGCGCCGCGGCCCGCGATCGTAGTCGTTAAGCAACTTTCGCAAGGGTCGGTCACGGGATGGGTGACCAAAATATTATTATCTCGAGCTACTCCGTGCTTCGGAAGGCACGTTAAGCCGTTGGTCCCGGCTGCATTTGCAGTCGTTAATACCCTCCAATCCGCATTGGGCCAGCGTGGAGGGTCATGGCCCATCCTCCTTAACCATCCATAAGGAAGGCCTGAGCCCCTGCAGTGGGGACGTAAAAGGGCTGGTGAAGTGAAGTGGTGAAGTGAATTATTTTACTTGGTGCAAGTAATCAATCTATGCAATGGTTCGATAGATATCTTAAATCGCACCATGCCCGTTGCAGGATTCTCTGGCTCATTAGTGCTGCACCCCGCTTTGCTCTGGTAACACTGAGGTGCTAGTGATCAATTTGATTAGTCAAAAGAGATTTTTAGTTTTCATTGCATGGTTAAAACCATTGTACGACTTTTAATGAGTGTTACGTGGGGGGTGAATGACAACCCGACTTTATACGCAACTAATCCGAAGTTGGGAAAGTGTTAAAACTATCAGGAATTTTTTTTATGGGCAGAACATTTTCAACATTTCGCCTTCCATACATCAACATCGAATTATTGTCATTGACTTGCAAATTAGAAGTTTTTATATTGCAATAAATTATTTTCTTTCTCTTCCAGGAATATGAGAAGCGTGTTGTGCCATGGCTTTACTCCTTCGGGGTATTCATAATTTTCCGTCTAATTGCCTTTATATTTGCGTCGATAGTGAATGACATGATATTCGCATACAATGTGCTGATGTGCCTTATATGGATAGTATTCTGCATTGCTGGCATGTACGGCTGGCTGTTGGTTTATAGTTTGTATTTAGAACTGGCTGATTTGACGAAACTGGAGGACTTGGCGCATTTGAGGGTAAGATATGAACATAGATTCACTATAGGGAACATGCACAACGAAGGTATAACCATTCCAAGAAGGTAGAAGGTATAACCATTCCGAATCTTGTAGTCTATTGATAGTTCATATCTATTTATATTTATAATAAATCTGTAGAGAGGTCAATTCTATACATGAAATATATTTCCAAAATAACTATCAGGGGGTGATTAGGGATCGATACTGATGCCAAAAATGCAATCAGTAAAATTTTTGTCTGTCTGTCTGTTTGGATAACCGTTATAGAAACAAAAACTACTCGACGGATTTTAACGAAACTTGGTACAATTATTTTTCATACTCCTGAGCTGGTTATAGTATACTTTTCATCACGTTACAATCAATAGGAGTAGAGCAGTGAAAGGAAATGTTGGGAAAACGGGAGAAGTTACTCCATTTTTTAAGTTTCCGTCGCGTGTGCAACCTTAATGGTTAAAGCTACCCAGAAATCATGTATGACGGAAATGTTCTCCTTAAAATTATATAAAAAATATCCCACGACAGAATATATCTATTTTTTATGGTTGACTCACAATAACACGTGTAACTCCCGATAGCTTAGCAGTTCGAAGCTTTCTGATTGTATTTGTCTATTGTCTACTCTTACGTTTATAACACTCTCAATCATCCCTAATAAAAAAAGTTAACAGTATTAAGTATTCCATAAAAAAGAATCATAGAAATCGGTATAGAAATATATTAGTCAAAATTGATTTTTGAGAAACACATTGGTTTAATGACATTAGTCTTCAGGTAGCTACAAAGACGAACGCATGACAAAGACATGTCTTATAAAATACAAGTTTTTCATTTTGTTACTATTTTATCATCCTGGACCTGATATATCTATACTAATATTATAAAGCTGAAGTGTTTGTTTGTTTGTTTGAACGCGCTAATCTCAGGAACGACTGGTTCGAATTGAAGAATTATTTTTGTGTTGAATAGACCATTTATCGAGGAAGGCTTAAGGCTATATAACATCACGCTGCAACTATTAGGAGCGAAGAAATAATGGAAAACGTGGACGAAGTCGCTGGCGGCCACTAGTCGTGTAATAAAATTAATTTTATTAGTAAAAACTAATATTCTACATAATGCATCGTTACATTTATGGATGTACTATTATAGCCGCAAAAATGAAAGTAAATCAATAGAAGAAATATTACTTTCCAAAATGTAGTACTCGCACACCATGCTCCTGCCATTTTGAAATGCATTCTCGATCTAAGTCACCAGTTTAGAAAATTATATATAAATAAACTCGGGTCTTAAGTGTTCTGGTACCGTCATTGTCTCAGATATTGCATAATACAAGTATTTTAGCAACTTTTACATTAATCTGACCTGTGTGATGTCTAATAATTTATTTATCTAATAATATATTATTGCAGATGGGAACTATGGCGTCTTTGAACGCTTCTCTAGCTGGTTCTCGACCTACCACGCCTCATAGCACCGTGTCTACTATGCCGGCCTCGCATATATGATGCGGGAGCCCTAGAGGCGAGGCCGATGACATTACCACCTGTGACAACAAACAAATTGATATAAAAACGGAGACCGAAGCTTCAGACATAGATGAGACCACGCCTCTATCGGCAGATGCCGCTGATAATAGTTTAGAAACCCCTGTATGAGGTTTGTGAATGACTTTTTATAGTTTTGTAATAATTGTTTTCAATATTACAGATCAAGTTAGTCTTATTGGCTTATAGTGCCTTTTTAGAACTGATTAGTTTAGTTGTGTATGGCAACTGAATGAATATTATCTATTTCCGCATTTAAATGCATAAATTTAATCTACTAACTTTAGTTATAGTGTTTTGAACTTACATTAACCGTCTTATTGTTAATAATCATAAAATTGGTACTTGGTTTAAACCATTGGCCAGCTAAAGCAAATTAACAGTGGCAGAAGAGAAAACTTAAGTTCAGAAATGTTGATTAATTTTGGTCAGATAATAGTTTAAATCTGGTAGTAAAGTTTTTCCTTGTTCTACAATAAAACAGTAAATGACTCTAGAGATGAGAACCGTATCATCAATACTCTTGCTAAGAACTTTTTTAAGTACTTTGTCAAAAAAATAGAAGCTTGTGTCTCATTATTCTCTTGAATGGTGAGAATGTTGTATTTTAAAGTAAATCTTGATTGCAATTTGTTCTGAAAAATTACTTTTATGTCAATACTCTGTCTTTTTCATACAAATATGGGCTCAATAACAAATTAATTTTCTATTAAGTTCAAATCAAATGTCGACCTGTTTTGATCTAACACATAAACCTTTAGTATTTTAAGAAACACTTAGCTAATCTAACTGTTTGTGATTACATACCGCCTTATATTTAGATGTATGAGAAAATGTGACTTATACATTATATGTACTAATAAGTTAGCTACCCCTTTATTACGGTATGCTCATGCTATAGTTAAAGATATTATAAACCTTAACTGTAAGCCCTTAAGTTACATTTGAATTGTCTGAATCTCTAATGGTAGTTTAGAGTTATATTCTGTCATAAAATATTTACTATTATGGTAGAAAAGCAATATTATCATAATCAAATTGATATACTCCCACCAATAGTTAGATATGTGCAATTCTTCTTGATTATAACGATCTATGCACTTAAATTTAGGATTTGTGTGCAGTGCCTTAACTATAATATCATAATGAACCTTTAACACGATGCCAATAGCCGAATCGAATAAGCCAGTCCACTAAAATTAGAAATCAATATATTTCCTTGGACTAGATTGAAGATTGTCTCTATTTACACGAGGCTAATACAGCTCACTGGACTGACTCTGCTAGTGGTCTCGTGTAAATGATCTATTGCATAGCATAAAGTCTCTCTCCATCTCTGTCTGTTAGGCTTTTAACTCCTCTTTAACCAAAGAATCGATTTCGATATGCCCTTCACTATTGCATAAGAAACTTTGGAAGCCCACTTGCACAAATTCAGTTAGGCTACTTAAATTGGCATACATAGAATCATTTTACACGCTTAACTTCCAGCTACTACTTCCGGGTACATTTATACATTCTCCAAATTTTTGTGACCGGGCTAATTCCTTGGTAATTTTTGGAAGTTTCCGTTTCGTCAGTCATTCCCAGCTACAACTATTTCCTTTATAAATCATTCACTTTCATAACACAATACACAATTAATTTTAAGTATAATTAGTTGTTACGGATCCTTTATATGATTCCTGATCACTAGACTGAAATATTGGTCGTGTAATTAGAATAAGTAGTAATTATGATATCTTTTTATACACATAAAGTAACAGGTTACCCATAAAATATGTGAAAGCTCGTCAATAAATTTTGAACTTAATTATCAATGAATTAAGGTATAAAATGTTTTGCAGATGATATCGCGTATAGAGTCGTATAACCTGACGCACTTTTGACTGTATTAGCACATGTAATGAGTCTAGAATATAAGCATCATCTATTTATATATTATCTTTTTTTTATAAATATATATATTATTAAGAATCTAATGGTAAAAAAAAAACACTTTTCCTTTAAATTCTCACGCAATTTACGCGTTTTACTTGTGTTAAATGATTCATTATGATTTTATTAAATGTTTTATTATCGAATGTAGCGACAATGGATCCAACGCACATCTAGATCATTGATTTAAATAGTTATTATATTTGAGGTATTTTAATTCACAATAAATATTCTTAATGAAAAATGCTTAAAAATTTAAATAAATACAACTTCTTTTTCTTATTTAAAAAAATATATTATCTTCTCTTCTTTCGTTGCTTGATGTGTGTTGGTTCGATTTTACGTAATAACATTCACTTTTTTTTAAAATAATGCCCTTGTTTGTTATTAAGTTCCGTCCAATGCGTTTATATTTTCGATTAGGTTATTATTATAACTAATTAATTGTATAAATTATGTTTAACATGCACTATTTTTAATTTTATTATTTATTGATTACGCAATTAACAATTAAATTTGGAATCAGCATCAAATTAACCATATTTTATGTCATTTTAAGCCACAAACAAAACGACAGTTTATTTACAGTTTTTAATAGTTGTGTTTGTGGTTATTATTATGAATTACACTAAAAGTGTACAATTAAATTGAAATTAAATTTTAATATATTTTTCTCGTTTACATCTAATAGTTTCGGCAGTCGATTTAAAACTTCAAAGTCCCTAAGGATATGTTAATTCTTATTTTGGTCTCCGCAACATAGACCTTACTGCTATAATTATAACGGTTATTTTCCAAATATCAAGCGCTTATAATAATATGCCGTGAATATTGGTATAAGCTTCATCTCTTTTGCACCACGGATTTATGCTTGCATTAGAAGCTAACACGTTTTGATACGTAACGGATTTTGTATCGCTTGTGTTTGGTATAGTTTGTATTTCTTTATGAGAAAAATGTGCAACTTGGTATCGGTTTTGAGATATGTTTTGATATATCGGACTCATACCTACTATAGGTTTTTTCATGGGTTGATAATTATTTGCTACAGAAATTTTCAGCATTTCGTAAAGGGTTGATACGAGTTATGAAGATGGGCTTTTATTAACATTGAACCTACACCTTTTCTATTATTCATTTCATTTCATATTGTTTATCAATTTTGTCTTTTATGTTAAGGTTTAAAGTGCAGTGAATAATTAAATCTTTTGTTGTAACCAGTTATAAAGTGCCTAATAAAGAATTTATTACTTTACATATAAATTAAAATTTTGTAAAAAAATCGGCCTTCTTTTTTGAAGTCGGTTAAAATGTAACGAAGTGTAATGTATAAAGTGCTAGTTATTAATAAAATTAACGATTATACATATGTATTAATTATATAACAAAGCACAAAGCTTGGTTTGTTTCTTAAATTGAACAAGATATTCGTGTTCTGAAAACCGTCCATGTACTTTGATACTTTAAAAATAAATGGATTTCATAGATTGTGTGTTTTGAATTCTATTTTTTATTATAATCAGAGAAAGACCTGTTATAAAGTTTCATTGTCTTGAATATACCTTATGCTTATTTTATAACGCACGATCATCTGTAATCAACAGACTGCTAGTTTGTTGCAATCATTAATAAACACTTTCATCGACAGATTATCGTGCCGATATCTGGTGATGTACGACACAGTTTCTTCTCGAAAATATTGTCATTATTACCTCGAATATATTTACACTATCGGAATCACGTGGTTATTTATGTCCTACCGTTTAACATTCTGTTGGTTATAATGTGTCGCATAGCGATATCGTTGTCGTCCGAGCTGACGATATATGAGTATATTTGTGAGAGATGATGAGTCGTGTCATTATGGCATGAAAACCCCTAATGGAAAGCACCAAAGGATGCGAAAGAAATTTTAGTATCGTTTGTATGAATACATATGAACCATACTTCTCTTTGACATGAACCTACAAACCGTAATAAAAAACAATCGCTATTATTCCAAATTCATAACTGAATAATAATCAGCATATTTCAGCTGCTCAATATTATATAAAAGTCTTAATCGGCTTTTAAATCTATACCAACTTCCTCTTTGATAAAGGTCAATTTCAATGGATCTGTTACAAAAATTATAAATAAAAAAAACAATTAAAAATAAATCATTTAATTAATGTGACACCAAATCAAATAAAAATACAATTTACACCTTATATAGAATATATACACTGGTAATTATACCAACAATATCAAAAGCACTGTCTTTGCATGATGCAACTACCTTCACAAAATATCATGTGCTTGCAAGAGGCATGTCTATTTTGAAATAAACATTGTAAACGCTAGTTTCTTATTCAGAAACAGTGACAACAAATACATTTCTAACCCCCCCCCCCCCTCTCGTTTAATTGCATTTTCGCCTAACCCCCAGCAGGCGCACGATAAAAACTAATGGAAATTGGAAGTAAACAGTTTTATTCACTTCATTGATCGAGGGGCACTTCACCCGACCTTCGATCAATGAAACATTTTTCACCACAAAACCAATATGGTTCCAAAGTAACAGTACATTTCGGGTATTAAATATCAAATTTATATAGATATTAGATAAATTAATGTTTACTATACCAATCCAATTAAAGAATGGAGCCAAATTTTTCAACAAAAGCCTCAAAATAAATAACTTATTTATCTTTATCTTCATGCCGTAACCTTTGCGGGGTAGGCAGAGAAGACTGAATGCTACAAAGTACGAAATAAAACTTATAAACTACAATATATCGATATATATATTATGATATGCGCCCGCTCCTCTTGTCAGTGAAATAAAGCAAAACAGAATCTTAAATTTACTTAATCAATAACGCAGTCGATAATATTGAGAAATAAAAGCCATTAAAATACATAAAAAAACTACAACGCGTACCGTCTCATTATACTTGGTTTAAACCGTTGGCGCATAAACCAAATTTATTCGAAGCGCCCTAAGCGATCAAAAAGCTGTTAAGTACAGAAGTCCAATTATATCTTGGCAACCAAAGTTGCATACTGATCTAACAACTCTACTCGAAACAAGTTGTTAGTCAGTATGTATTTACAATTAAAGAACACCTCGCAAAGATATTATGATCACTTTGCGTGGGTACTTAGATCAAATGCAACTTTGGTTGCTGAGATTTTATTCAACGTCCATACTTGTCATTGCTTTGATCTTTTTTAATTCATAGCCTATTTACGTTTACACAATACCGCTAATGTCACGTTGGTGGCCTTTACATGTAAAGAAAAACAATTGTATTGAGATTCTCAATTTGTGAAACTTTTTCTAATATACCTATCTTTTTGTGTCTTTGTAAGCATATTAAAAAATATAACATTCAATTATAACCTACATGACACTATCATTTATTTATTACCGTACTTTTTATTTAATTTATTAGTAGAATTTGTGACGTTTGCTTTGTGTTGTCCATTAAGTTCAGGGAAGAGTGTACTCAAGGAAGAAAACTAGTAAAAGTCATTACTGAGCAATTTCATAAGTGTCGCTCTCACACTGGACGGGACTACGGGACGTTGGCAGAATTTGTGTAAAACGGAAAAAGGCCATTAATAAAAAAAAAATGAGAACCTTGGGCGCTTCAATTGTTATGACGTAGATATAAAACAATAAGTTACCTATTTAATAATTAAATTTGGTAATGATAAAGCTAGAAATAAATGATTAAAGTTTTGGATGAACTGATAACGGAATTAATTAATAAATGCGTTGAATTAACATTATTTTATAATGAAATCGATTAATGGCTTCATTATTTTGGTATTTTATGATGATGATATATTATTTTTATTGGTATAAGTTTAAGAATAAATATTCCGTACATAAAGAACCTTAATTTATAACATAAATATCTAGAAACAATTGAGTCTAAATTTGTGTAGCGTTCCAATAGCGAATAGCGAAAGGAAAAATTGCATTTTTTCTTACTAAGTATTCGGGAACTTTTAAAAGAGTATTCAGTTTTTGCGGACCAAAGACATGCTGGATTTAAAAGTTCGCTCGCTCTAAAATATTACGATTGTGTGCGATCAAAAGAGACAGCAACAAATATGTGGAAAACCTATTTAATATAAATTCAGTTTGAGGCAACTACGTTATGTGGCCCCATGTGTTCATTTAAATTCCTCATTAGTTTAATGACACTTTAATCATTATTCAGAGATAACAGACTAGTCATATAATAAATAACCTCATAATAATATCATCTTGTAATATTTATCATAATCAAACATACTTTTACACTGAAAAAATATTTTATATAAAAGCGTATATTACATATAAATTCGTTTCATTTATACTAATATAAATATTTTCATGCGGATGGTATATATTCCATAAAATAGCAACACTGGTACACGATGGTAGAAATCGGTAATTCTTAGTAGATTTTTCCAGTGTAAAATTTCAACAAACACTATTAATTTTCGTCTAGCTATCTAAGCCTACATGTTTGCGTTTTATCCTAGCGTACGGACCAATGTCTGGGTCAGTAACGAAATCGTAAAGGACACTAGACCAACTGTTGTGTTGCGGCAGATTGTCGTAGAACTCCGCGGCTATGCGTTTCACCTGAACCGAAAAAAGGAACATGTCATTAAAGTTATATCTTGTAATTTTTCGAATAGCAACTCTTGTCTACGTCTAGGAATCAAGAATTAATACCAAATAAGCACTTATATGAGGAGCTCGATTATACAGTGGTCGTTCAGCGAAAGTTAAACCGCTGTCGCAAAGTCCGGTCATAGGATGGGTGACCAAACATTTATTATCTCGAGCTCGTCCGTGTTTCGGGTGTCATGTTAAGCCATTGGCCTCGGTTGCATTTTCTGTAGTTAACACTCGGTAATTCGGGCAACCCTTCAAACTCAGCGCTATGAGTGTATAGACTTAAGAACTTCATTGAAAAAAAAAACCGTTACTCCATTTTGGAGTATGTTTTATTTGATTTAATTTCTTTCATGACAGCGCTGAGTTCGACGTAGAAATTGATGCATCAGAATGCACTGCAGATTTTATGCTTATATCCACTGGAAGACCAGTGCCGTGGCAGTGCGGATATGAATAAGTTGATGATGAATTTCTAGTAAGATTTCTCAATGAGCTATGTTGAAATATTCAACACTACAAAAAAAAAATCGACTTCTATAGCAATTCGAATTCAATAGCATACACATTTTAATGATAATCGTACATTTATATTTAATTAAACTTAATTATAATGAGTATAGCGTAAATACTACTTAGAAATAAAATAAGCAGTGACACAGGCAAGTGTATTCCTTCACGATATTGAGTTGCCATTACAATAAAATAAACTGCTTCTCATAAATATTAAAAAGTTTTGATGGATTATGTGAAATAAATCTGTTCTCACCTCTGGTAATCGCCGTCCGGGCACCGCTGGGAAGTCATGGTGTTCATTATGGTAGCCAACGTTGAAAGTTATCCAATTTAAGGGTCCATAATACGAGTATGTCTCGAAACCTTTTTTGAACATGTAATGTTCGGAGACAAAATGACCTGAAACATAAATGCCGAATTTTAAGTATGGTAGGAACGGGCAGTTTTTTTAATTGATTGTTTGAAGTGTGGATATATTAAAAACAAAATTCTGAAATGGTAGAAATTGATAGTTTTCATATAATTGCATATTTTTAGATTTGAATGCCAATGACGCTATTCTTGCAACTAAAATGCTGTTCTTACCAGCTACTGGGTGCACACCCATCGCCATTAACGATCCAAATATTAAATAAGCCAACACCTTCCAGCCTGCAATTCAGAAAAAAAAAAAACATAAAAATTATTCTTTTTTTTTAAATAGACGCTATCGAATTTCTAGCTTTTTGGCACCATTTAGAAAGGTTCCGGTGTTCCATTCACCTTAGACACACTCATCCTAGCATCTCTGTCAATAATAGAATTTTCTGCATTTGATTTTAAATCTTAAGGCATTGTTGATAGAGTTCAAAATTGACTATGAAAATTGTACAGTATATTATATAAATAGGCCAATAATTTAATCCTGTCATTATGTTCAACTCACCGAACAATTTCACAACAACAGCGTCGAAGAATAGCTGTATCACCAGGTTGATTAGTTCCAGAGGCGTTGGTGGTTTAGGTCTAACCACCAGAGGTCTGATTGCATAAAACAAAGGCTGGAGGAACAGCCACAGCAGTTTGCCACCGGTGGTGCAAAACAATTTAGCTTCTATCAGAGTAGGTAGATCTGTGTCGATGACTTCATCACCTTGATACTATGGAAAGTAAATAAATATACATTACACTTTTTAAGTATTAACGATATGACGTATTACTGTAACATTCGGCCGCCAGATTGCATTACTAGCGCATGTATACAATTTTTAATAAACGTCAAACGTCAATGCGGAGTAGTGGACAAAGAGTAAAGTAACAGTGAGCATAATAGTAATTTTTTTTTAAATATATAATTAGACAGAATATAATTTTATCTTATAATTTATCATTGCTGCATATTTGGATGTGATAAAGAAGAGAATCAGTCATCTCCAAAAGACAAAATATTTGTAAAAGTTTTGTTTGTTTACTACATGTGCTAGTGCTGCATTCTACGCCGAGCTTTGCGTAATATCCCCTATTCCATATTGAAATTTCAATCAATAGATCAATGAATCATGGCCTCAACCTATCGTTCGGTTGGCAAGAGACAGACAATCGTATTACCCTACCAGACCTGACTCTTTCTTTCTGTCTGTCTACCCGCATATATATTCTATATGAGTAGTTACCGCGTAAAGCATTAATAGCAGAACAATTCAACGGTTTGTTTGTTTGTAGCCATCCTTTACTGCGAGTGCGTCAGCAGAGACATGGAACCGCTATGTTCTCTTATTTTCTAGGGACGTTTAATCTTACGGGCAATCCAATCTTTTTCCTACTCTATAAATAGCACGGTTGCCAAACAGAAAGAATTTTGTTCGTTGACCTTTGTGCCTACTAACAGATATCGTAAACATTCAAGGTTCAATGCACTATGACATAATTGGCTAGATGCATCTGTGCGAGTGTAAAGCCGCGTATCGACTGCGCGCGGCAAACCATCGAACATTGGCTCGCGCGGCAGCCGCGCGCAGTCGATACACGGCTTAATAGCAATACGTTTGCGCACGAGTGAGATATGTAGTAGCGAGACATTGTACGAATTATTTCTCTTCGGCGACTGTTGTAGTACTTCTTATTAAACCAGTTGTATAAGGTGCCATCACCTCTGAGATTCTGAGTTCGATTCCCGGTCTGTTCAATGTTGAAAATGAACTTTTCTATATCTTCTCGGTTTTGGGTGTTGTGTGGAATCGTTGTTTCATATTTCTATAATACAAGGGATTTAGCTACTTAACTTGGGGTTCTAAGTAAGGTATGTGAAGTTATACTAATATTTATTTATTATCCCGTTTTAGGACTGATTGATAAAGTAAAAAGCTTACCCTATGGTGTTCCAGGTGGTATTTCTTAAAGCTTATTGATATCGGTATGCCGATTGGAAGGTTTGCGAAGAATCCAAAGAGCCGGTTGTGAAACGGTCGGTTGTGACCGAAGGCGAGGTTGTGAGCTATTTCGTGTATGGCTGAAATATAATTAAAAAAAAATGCTTTAAGGATAATCATTACAAGCCTATAAATGACTGATACATAGCGACATCTAATTCATCGCAGTAACATCGCCACAACAATCGATAGCGAGAAGACTAGCATCGTCACAGCCATCGATAGCAAGACGAACTGCAATAAGTTTCAACAGCAAGTAACGAGATGGCGCTGTACCAATACAACAGCATAAATTAATAACTACAAGACATTTAGAACAAAGAAACCTACATCACACAGAATAAGTTTAATTACCAATTAACATAAATAGAACGTCCAACCTACATCGGTTGGACCGCGGTCCCCGGGCTAACAACACCTAGCTCGGAGGGAGACAATTATCCTTTAGTCTCCCTGACCAGTTGTCTCCCAAGCTCCCATCGCCACATTTGGGACACCAACCTCCAACCTTTCGGTTCCTAAAGTGGTGAACCCCGACGTGATTGAACATCAGCAACCTTCAGCATCACAACGCAGCCATCACTCTTCATCAACAGCCTCTCACCCTTCATCATCAGCTTCTCATCCCTCATCAGCACAGCCACTTCAGCAGCAAGCCAGCCAACACCAAGGTCCATCACAGCAGCATCGACGACGCTTCCTGGATCATTGGTACATCATGACGGCATCATCCCGACCTGGTCCTCGCAGCCCACGACCGGACCTCAGTTCACACACAACTCACCGGCGTGGCAGCCCTGCACACCAGCAGCTTCGGTCCCGACGTCACAACCATGGCACTTGCAAGCTCTGAAGCACTGACTGCATACCACCTACTATCAACATGGATCGACCTTCGGTCTAGGGGGAAAGTACTGTGGCGACTGATACATAGCGACATCTAATTCATCGCAGTAACATCGCCACAACAATCGATAGCGAGAAGACTAGCATCGTCACAGCCATCGATAGCAAGACGAACTGCAATAAGTTTCAATAGCAAGTAACGAGATGGCGCTGTACCAATACAAGCAGCATAAATTAATAACTACAAGACATTTAGAACAAAGAAACCTACATCACACAGAATAAGTTTAATTACCAATTAACATAAATAGAACGTCCAACCTACATCGGTTGGACCGCGGTCCCCGGGCTAACAACACCTAGCTCGGAGGGAGACAATTATCCTTTAGTCTCCCTATTTTTCTACCATATTCCAAAAACTCGTCAAAAATAGAAATATTAATTCTCATCGAGTCTCCCGTGAACCTCTATAGAATCGGGAAGTTTGAGAATGATGGAAATAGAGTAAGACGATGACACTGAAAGCCTCCTCAAAAACCTTCCTTGAGCTACAAATATTTTTATTTATTTAAACTTTATTTCAAAGAACAGAAAAAGCTGACAGAAGCAAAAAGATGTGCCCCCGGCATTATCTACCAGTCTTCCCGACAGGGGGTAATATTAAAAAAATATATCCCAATTGCTCCAGCCATTTTTGAGATAGCAAAATATTAATTGACAACATAACCAAAATTAATCGATATAAAAACATCGACATGATCTAAATCCTTCGAAACGTTACACGACAACACTATGGTTTATGTGAGTCATTCTTTCAGGACATTAAATATAAACAATTAGACTATTAATGAGGTCGTTGACGCAAAACAACTACTATATAATTGGATACTCAATTCTTTTAAGTAATAATAAAAGCCTATCAATTACACTACAACAATTAAAAATATAGTATCTTTCAAACATGGGTATTACAGTAAGTACAACTCATTTATCCTATTAAGCGATTTTTAAGATATGGAAGAGCGGAGCGTCCTATCGCATGCAATTTTTTGCTCAAATGGACGTTCCATATACTGTCCATTTTATGTACTATTCTGTTATAACAATAAACATTATTATTATTATTAATAGATAGATGTATATACAATACAACCCATTTCATTATTACACACACGTGCGCGAGCGCACGTACGCACTAATCTTTTTGAATTCACTATGCAAGGACGTCTCTGTACAGACGCACACGCATAGTTGAATACATTTCACAGATCACAGTACCATCATTATAATTTCTTAACAGCGCCGGCTCATTGAAATTTGGCGCCCTATGCAAAACAGTGGAACGACGCCCATAAAAAAATCAATCAAAAATCAACAAAAGACTAAGTACACCGATTAAAGAGTGTAATTTTGCCAATGACAAAAGAAACTCCTTAGGTAGGTACTGTTGCTCTGAAAATTTTGTACTTTTTTTTTAAACTTGCATAGGTATAGGCACTGCATTTTTAAGGTTTCAATAATTAGTGTAAACATTATATATAGCAAACATAACTGTTTGCCAAGCCATGCCGTCCCTCAAACACGAGCGCCCTAGGCAGTTGCCTAGTTTGCCTATTTGGACGGGCCGGCCCTACCACTTGCTCCCAAAAAGATAAACTTAAACATCAGGAAAACTAGACGAAAAACAAAGTCGTCTATGCAGCCACACTGTTCTCGAGTGACACATTAACACGATAAATATATCAATGTAATTTATATAGATTACATGTTATGAATTGTTACATGGATATGATTCACTATATCAGCGACGATGTTGATACAAATCATTGCTTTCATCGATGATATTTTTTTTTATCTAAGGCAACAGGTGTTTATAATTCATGTTAACCTAATCTAGAATGTCGAAGTTAGTTTAACTGATAATTTAATTCTATTATCGTCCCCTGTTGTGTTGAAGCAAAGAACTTCCCAAAAAGAATGGTTCTATACTTCCCAAATAGGACGGTATCGGTGACTTTTCATAGAACGTTTTGAAATAACTAAATAAACTGGCATCTTTAAGTCACCTATATGAATGTACGAGTAGTCGTTTGTTTCAAGTTGGCCGTTCCCATCTAGGGTTGCCATTTGTGGGTTTTATGAATGCATGGATGAATGAATGAAATGAATAAATGAAAAATTCTTTATTGTACACCAATGGACAAAAAAACAAACAATTTATTACTAAAAATTAATTTCTTCCAGGCAACCTTGCGAACTGAACAAAATTATATCTAGATCAGATTAGGGTAACTTATGGTGTCTCAAACTTCATTAGGATATCATATCTCTACATATATTTGATGTATTAATTAAATATATTAAATAAATACACAAAATAATAAGCACATGAATACTATAGATTCTATATATTTATTTATACATATATTTAATATATAACATATATATATGTATAATAAAAAGCTTATATATATATATATATATATATATATATATATATATATATATATATATATATATATATATAAGCTTTTAGATGACAGATAAGAAAACATGTTAGGCTTATTTTTACATCGTGTTCACTTTTGTTTGTGTGTTAGGGTGTTAAAGACGAAGCGACGACGGAATGCGTTCTGTTCTTTATTAATAATAAAGAATTAATTGTAAAATATAACTCTTAATCATCATGGCTTTATAAGTGACGTTTAGCTATTAAAGAATATACAGTCCGGCTTTTAGAGCAAAATTTCCAGCCTAAAACAGCAGAAAGTAACAGCCGGTTGCACAAATGTCATTAGTTTAATGCCACAGTACCAAAACAATGTTTTTTTATTAGAACATTCTAGCATAATCGCATAATTAATATATAAAAATATATTAAATCTCAGAAATTTCAGATTTTTTTTATAAAACATACAAGTACATTTTATTGACCGCTTTAAATATACTAGCTAAACACTGTAATCCGCAGTATATAAAAACGATAATGGGTATTTTGTTTTTTTTTTAATTGTTTAGTACGTTTGAGAGAAAAATCTCAAACTGTAACAAAATCTCAGGCTTTTTCAATGATAATCAATCAGGCCTTTTCTTCGGAAATTTGATTTTTTCATATGGTAACCCTATACGGACGTTACTCTTTCTAGTGTATATACTTATACATACAATCGTGTAGTTCTAGTTAATCGAATAACACGTTATATAGATACGCGTTAAGTGGCTATTATACGATAATCTGGCTGATAAGGGTGTTAATGCATTATTAACTCGAAAGCAACGATAACACGGTAACTCAGTACTGTTTATTAACTTCTAGACTTGTGTACACAAGATTTAAAGTCCTTTCGACGCGGAGAACTCCAGCGAGCGTAGCATGAACTCGAGAACCTTTCGTATATATCAAACGTTACTTTTCTGGAGTCGAGAGTGAGATGTATATATAGTTCTCCTCCGCGAGTGCGGACTGGACGAAGGGTCACCTGACCACATTTATATCAATTGCTCGAATACTCTCCATTCCTCTCAAGATATCTGACCCTCAGACATACCACGCCTTCTTAATATTAAATAGCTTTTAAGGTATAAAATAACTACCAAAATTTATTTGTATCAATAAATTAAAACTTATATAAAGCCATTGATTTCTTATATTTTCATAAATGAAACAACTTTTAAAAGGTTCCATCGCGTTTGTATGTTGTTTTATTGACTATATTAATATACCACCAGTTGGGTTTTCTTTGAAAAGAACTGGCGAAACCAATTCCGACAAGATAAGTGAATTGCAGTTCATTCAGTAAATATTAAATCAAAGGGAGCAATTTTCTTTTTTCGTCGGAGTTTTTTTCGCCAGTTCTAGTCAGATAAGACTCCCAAAGTTAGAACTGGTGGTAGATTACGGTAGCCAGGGGAAAAAAAAAATTTATTTTAATAAACGTAAACGTTGCCATAAAATATATAAATTTTTCTATTGTGAATGTGTCAAAGAGTATGGGTTTTTGAAGGTAGATATACAACACCTTAGTCATATGTGTATACGTAACCTATACAGGGGTCCGAAACGTCAATAAAACTAAATACAAACGCGATGGAACCTTTTAAAAGTTGTTTCATATATTCATACAAAGCTAATTTTTATGTTGAATGTTCCAATAACTGTGCCCTATATATGTTTGCATGGTATGATATGAATGTCAAAGTCGCTGTAGTGTTATAGAAAGAGATTTGCTACACATACTTCAATTTAGATTTGCTACACTTAAACAATTGGTTACATTAATTTATTTTATACTGTGCAACGGTAACCTACGTGAAATTGGTTACAACATAGCTATTAAGATAGAAGAGATGTTGTACGGGCGCACCCAAGAAAAGTCTTTGGGTGTATATGTTGTAGGCCAATCGTTGAATTAGGCCAATCGAGATTTGCCCGGTCATGTCAAATTTCATATAATATATACCTTTTCAACGGTGGGGGAAGCGGCTATAGATTTTTAAAAATGTAAAAAAAAAACTGTTGTATGGACATACTCTAGCGCGTCAGATATTAATATCATCCATGTCCTACGCATTTTTAAAAACTGTCGTATGTTAATCTGACCGTTTCCATGATGGGGGTGGTTATACGTAAGGGTTGAAAATGAAAAAAAAAATAATAATTTAATCGAGCGCGTCAGATTTTTTGAGAGGATGTCAAGTGAACCTAAAAAAAGCTCTCATATAATAATCTGACGATTTGGATGTGACGCAAACGCGTGACCATTATTAGAATGTGCAAAAAAAAACCGTCATTTTGAAATACTCAAGCGCGTCAGATTAAGATATATATGGTTCATCTTTATGCCCCAGACGTGATATCTCATAATCTGACGATTATCTGAAGGGATTTACTTAAACTGCCACAATTTTTTTTTTTTTAATTTTTTCAAATATTTGAGCTTAATTAAATAGAATAGCACCGGAGTTAACATGCAAATAAAAAAGTGTATGTTTTTTTATGTAAAATACTTATATTTTTAAGAAAATGATTATATGAAAATTTAATTTTTACAGTATTTTTTATTAATTATCATCTTCATCGCTAGAATCATCTTCCTCTTCTTTTCTTAGTAAATATGTAAAAAGTTTAATTCACAAAATTTACATTAAAATAAGCAAAAACGTTGGAAATACGATGTAAACAATATCACGCCACGAACGAGTCTGTGTCATCAGCTGTCATGGCGTCATGGCAACCGAAACTAAAGTGGGGACGGAATGAGAGAGAAATAAACAGAAAAAGAGAGAGAAAGAGAGAGAAATAGTGATGCGGAGAAGGAAATATAGGTATCACGTAGCTTAAACGCATTAAATCTTATCGATGAATTTTTATTACTTCGGCTTGTGACAATCGTCAGATTATATATTTTTCGTAATCCTTGAATGATTCCCTTCAAAATAAAAAAAAAAAATTGCCACGCTCGAGAATGTCAAAGTGACTTTTTTTTTACAACTTTGTAGCCTTCCCTTCTTTACGTCACTCTCAAATTGTCAGATTAGAGGTATGTACACATTTTAGCATGTAACTAGCTCACCTTACCTTAATTTGACGCGCTCGAGATTTTCAGATGATCAATTTTTTTTACTAATCTGATCCTTCGTTCTTGCCGGGCGGCCATTTTTATAGGGCTCATACTTGGTACAGGTACTTAACTGGGTACAAGGTATCCCCCTGTAAAATAATCTGCCGCGCTTTAGTAAATCCCGAAATCCCCGCTTGGGCTCCCCTACTATAAATACGTTACTCTCGTCGATCTGCCAAATCTTTAAACGGGCCGATCATGATTTTCCTGGTCAAATCAAGTAATGGCGGCATATCGTGATATGCCCGGGCAGATCTCGATCGACCCACGACATATACAAAACGTTCTCGAGTTCGTCATGTGGCGAACTGGAAAAAGCGTTCATAATATAGATAAAAATGAGTCTGAAACAAATAATTTAAGTTATTCTCACCTAACATAAGGGAATGGTTGATCACTCCACCGAAGCAGTACGCCATTAGCATTGTCATCGGCCAGGAGAGATGCTGGACTATAGGCATAGTGATGAACTGAGTGATCACCATAGCAGTCACCACCCATTTGAATAAGGGATCATAGCCGAACAGCTGTTTTATCTCCGGGTATTTTTCTGTAAAAAGTGAATATTACTATTTATTTATTAAGGCATAATCGGATAATACTATCAACCTAGCAATGTCCCCACTGGTGGTGTATAGGCCTTCATTATGGATGGAACGGAATCGAATAGGGAGAATGGGTGGTAGCCATGAGCTAACACGAGGCCCAGTGCGGATTGGTGGGTGTTAACGATTGCCGATGCAGCCGGGATTAACAGCTTAACTTTTCTTCCGAAGACATTTGGACACAAATCATATAACAGGCCATTGCGAATGTTGTATAACAACCGTGTCGCAGACCGAACTCGCTAACTGCTGCGCCTTTTACACTCAGTTGCACAAACGTCCATAGGGGGCCGTCCATAAATTACGTAACACAAAATTAATGATTTTTGTAACCCCCCCCCCCCCCTCCTGTCACATGTTTGTCTCTACAAATTCTACTAAATATTGTTCTAATGTCACAGTTCGTTGATCCCCCGCCTCCCTCCTAAAGTGTGACGTAATTGATGGATGGCCCGTAGGCGCCTTTAAGCTCTTATGTCAATTTTGTATCGGTAATGAGGCTTTAAACTAATGACAATTTAAATGGACATTTGCGCAACTGGCTGTTAGCTTCTCAATATAAATATAAAACAAATATAAATCCTTAAACTACCAAAAAGATGTTCCAATGCTTTTTCGGTGATGATAACCGTATTAAATTCAGTTCGACGGTCGGACTACACTTATTCAAGAAGGTGTACAATATATAAGATTTTTTATTTAGTCGGTTAAAGTATAATGATTATAATATCTGAAAATATAGAAAATAAAAAAAAATATTGAATATAAGATTTATAATCGAATGGCAAAATACTGTTACGTATAACGTATAGTAATCGTGTAAAAAGAAATTTGAGTACCTAGTGATTTACGTCTGGTTACATAATAGCTAAAAATTTTCCACAATACAAGCAATAAGCTTTAGCTTCTGAGCAGTGTAACGCCGTGTTAGATGAAATCAATGGTTCTCAAATATCTATTGCTTATCTCGATTTATGCACTTTATCTGGTGACTCGTTTAATTCAGTGAAGACAATGCGTCATACAGCTTTACACCTTTGTTTGCTTTTAGATATGTATGTAATCTTTTGTTAGAGACACAGTAGACTATATGACAGTAAGAAAATTAATCGATAATATTTATACTTACGTTTTAATAGAGTAAACTTATTGACATCATTAATACAGGCAACAACAAAAATATTTTTTCTTGGTAACGAGTTTCGAATGACAAATAAAGAAAAAGGTCTTTATTCCAATAAGCAAATTTAAATTGTCCAACATACTTTACCTATAACATACATTCCATACGTTATTGGATGACACAAAAATAGATTTAGTAAACTTATCAGCGGTAAGGACATTCCAGTAAATAATTCACTACCAATCTAAATAAATATAACTCAAAGGTGACTGACTGACTGACATAGTGATCTATCAACGTACAGCCCAAACCACTGAACGGATCGGGCTGAAATTTGGCATGCAGGTAGATGTTATGACGTAGACATCCGCTAAGAAAGGATTTTGATCAATTCTATTCCCAGGGGGATAAAATAGGGGATGAAAGTTTGTATGAAACTTTGTCAATTTTAAACCGATCGGGCTGAGACTTTGCATACATAAAGCTACTATGACGTAGGCATCCCCTAAGAAAGGATTTTGATCAATTCTACCCCCAAGGGGATAAAATATGTGATAAAAGTTTGTAGGAAAATTTGTCAATTTTAAGCTGATCGGGCTGAGACTCGCATGCATAAAGCTACTATGACGTAGGCATCCTAATAAATATTTTTTGATAAATTCCACCTTAGGGGGTGGGTGTAAAATTTTGAATTATCGTATAAATATTTAAATTTATATTTTATTGATATATATTAATATATATTGATATATATCAAAGGGGGAGGCCTATGTTCAGCAGTGGACGTCTTCCGGCTGATGATGATGATGATGATGATATTAATATTTGCATGTTTGTCTTAAAACTAACCATACTGAAGAACTGAAGGTATATTGATAAAAACGTTCATCGACCTACCTGTAGTGTAGCATAAATAACAACGTGTTATAGATATCGTTTATTTTTTTACCTCCATGTTAGCAGGTAAAAAAAGGGAGAAAGAACTGTGAATAAAGTGACAAGCGTAACGGCACTATATAAGATTAGGAACCACAGGACTAAAGTTTTCCTAATTGACATTATATTTGTATCCCACTAGAAGTTCTCTTGGATTTAGAAATCAGAAAATATATAGTTGCGGTATAGAGTAGTTCGATGGCGTAGTGGATAAGTGCAGCGGCCCGTGATAGTTGTTGTTAAGCAAGTTTCGCAAGGGTCTGTGGTCACGGGGTAGGTGACCAAAAAATGATTATCTCGAGTAACCGTGCTTCGGAAGGCACGTTAAGCCGCATTGAGCCAGTACTGATCTTTATAATTAAGATTTGATGACATACTGATTGAGCACTTTACTGTGTCATTTCACAGACTCTAAAGACTTATTAGCAGCAATAAACTGGCTACGGTTAGTAACTAATTTACTTGTTAGTTCAATGCTGTTCATAGATAATAATAGATGTTAATCAGCATCTTCATTCTGAAGAAGCAATTACACTATAAGTATGTTTAATCTTGACTAGTCAGCGACCAGAAACCTAAAGCGGTAAATGTAATAAAATTTCTTTAGACATACTAAGTGCACGTGCAGATTATAACAATTAAATCGGCCACAGAAGTCAATTGTAATTAAAAACCGAATAAATGCAAATCGGACTCGCAAACGAATAGTACCACAACATTAGCCATTAAACAAGTTAAAAAAATCACGTTTGTTGTTTTCTATGGAGTTGTTAGAAATTTTCGAGTTAAATACAATTGGTCGACTATTACCCGTAAACTTGTACAGTCAACTTAAGTGTGATAGTTTTCCTTTTAACTTCGTTATATATAGGCTCTAGGTACTGCCGTAATGTTTAAATTTTTATCAACGTCCATTTAGATGGTAGAGAGGGGGGGCGGCACTTGACACTAACAACAATTAGCTTTTTAAAGCTTAATAAGTCCCAAAGGGTTTACTACTTCGAAAAACAACCTTCCCACTCCCCCAATGTTTTTAGCCTATCCAACGACACCCCACACTCTGGAGCAGACGAAAAAAAAAAAAAAAAATTTTTACCACTTTGTCGGCATAATTAACGTGTATACTCATGCCAAATTACAGTACCGACAGTTGTAAAGCTAAACCGCGGATGGACGAACGGATAGACGGACATGGCGTTACTATAAGGGTTCCTTGTTTACTAAGGAAGCCTAAAAATATCGATAAATATATGTACCTCCAAAGCCTTGAGTCGAATTAAGGGCCGATTCCAGGATAAACCGATTTAAAGTCAGGCCTATAGCTTTCATAACCTATAAAACTTGTAAACTAGTGTTGCCCAAAGTTCTTGTCCTTGCATTTGGACAACACTACTGTCCACTAGGACAAGAATCTCGCAAACCAAATCTGTCGCTTTGCCGCTGCCTCGTCTCTTTACGTCACAATCATACGGATTTTTTAATATTCCAGATACACTGAGAAAGGAATGTGGTCGTCATTAATCTTCTTAAAAAATTCTCTGTGTGACGATCAATCAACAAAACAGTATAAAACAAAGTCCCTATATCCTGTGTATACTTAAATCTTTAAAACTACGTAAAAATATTTTGATGCGGTTTTTTTTACATAGATAGGGTGATTCAAAAGGAAGGTTTTTATGTATAATACAAAACCGCGCGGGCGAAGCCGCTGGCCCAAGCTAGTTATTAATATAACATTAATAAACATAAAACGCAATCTGTCACCAACACTTTTTACTATGAAAGTAGGCAACGCAGACTACTACAGCGCCATTACTAAACAAGGTTTAGCGTCAGAGAAAATTTATGCTAAAATTGCAATTTTAATATGAATCCAAATTCATACATAGTCAATTTCAGAATAAGCAAACCTGCTACCCTCTAGGACTAAATATTATTGCTGTAGAACCTCGTACTAAGTTAGCCTTTGCTAATTTTGACAAATATTAAGTGCAGTCTCAGCGTAAATTTACTCAGACGCTTAATTATTACTTATTAATAATGGAAGAAAGTTGATTCTATATAGGCATTGTTATATACAAAATTTGCAAACTAGTACAAGGAGCTCAAAACCCCAGATTGGTACACTTTAAGTAAGAATAACAGTCAAGAATAATAAATCAGCATGGCTAGCATGATGCAATGTAGAATTTTGCCAATGACATAAGAGACAGCTGGTCGGGACATTTTGACCTGATCGGCTTGAGATGAAGGGGCAGAGATATCTTATTCTCTAAAATAGCATGTAAAAAAATAGCTATTATTTATTCTGGGTAAATTATTGTTTCCGTGGGCTTACAGGCGGAAGAGTATATATTTTTCCAGTGTACTAATTTTTTTGTAGCTCATTTTGAAATATGCTGAAGAAATGTTGGCAACAAAACATTTCACGCACATTGACCTATTAAAGAGTCTAAGTGCGGAAAATTTTGATTGGGTGAATTACATAAAAAATAACATTACAAACTTCATGATGTACAAACACAGTCAAAAATATTGTTGGTATCTTGGCAAATGACAGTGGTTATGGATGTAGAGATTAAGATAAGATATGGTGTGAAAAACAGGTTTACAGACATTTCCCTGAATTCCACTATAATGTCTCAAAGCCTACTGTTAAAAAGATGGAAATGTTGGGAAAGCTCCTTATCTAAACAGCATACTCACAGAAGTTATGCCAGCTCTTGGAACAAGATTATATCTCTTTTCTACCAGAACTCTACAAATGATAATACCCGAGTTCTCCCATATTTATTATTCTATAATAAAAAATCAGGGACAGCAGAGTGGATTTCAATTTGTAATATATAATGCTAAATTTCAGCCAGCAGTTTCGCTCACATGGTTTTCCCATTTTCATAACATTTTCCTGGCTGCTCTGCTCCTATAGTGTGATGTACACCTTCCTCTATAAATAGACTATTCAACACAAAAAGGTTTTTTCAACCTAAACCAGTAGTTCCTGAGATTAATATGTTTAAACAAACAAAGTCTATTATAAGTATAGATATTAAATTACATTATCAATGAAAAAAAGACCTAACTTAGCATCATTCTAAACTATAATAAAAAAAAAGTTTTATTCTCGTGTCAGTTCAGTCAAATGTTAACAAATTACCAAGTAACAAGGTTATTAATCAATGGAAAATAGTAAAGGCCACTTTAGTTAAAAAAAAAGTCTACTTAAAAAAATTGCTTCTGTATTATTCAATTTAGAGTTACTATTTTTGTTACCATAGATGTACATAAGATTTTTTTTTTAATTTTAAGTGTTTCTGCTCTGAAGAACAATTTTGTTTTCGTGGGTTACTAAGTTTTGCTTTCTCGTAACAATAATAAAGCCTGAGTAACAATAATTCTAATGGTTAATTAATTATCTGATGAATCTGTTTGATTTAATAACATTTAAATTGATAAAATAATCATTACCATAACTCAAAAAGCAAAAGAATCATAATGATTAATGACATTTTTTCACAAGGTTGTACCAGAATATCAGTGATTTCTATGTTGGATAATTATAAGCAAAGTATTAAGCTTTGCCCTTTTGGTTTTTATTTTCAAACCAAAATAACTTAGTATGTAACATGTTATTTTACATATTTATATAAATAACCAGTTATTTAAGTGTGATGTTTAAACTAAATAGCAACACAATTTAAAATATATATTAGCTTTATGGTGTCCAGGAGGGGAAAAATAAAGAACAGGGACTTTTTTTGATGTGTTTTTCAGGTTTTTTTTTTACAAGTAAAAGGTACACTCCCTTTCTTGCTGTGACAGAAAAGACTACATGATATTATTGTACATAAGATTTTTTTTTATATAAAATAAACTTTCAAGTTTTTTATTGAGGATGCTAGTTGGAAAGTATTATAAAAACTGACTAGATAGGAGAAACAATGTAGATAAACAAAATAAAACCATTTGAAAATGTTCTAAAAAACAAATTAAAAAATGTAACATTACATTTTAACTGTTTAATGTTCAATAATATGAAAAACTATGATGTTAATATTATGTTTAATTAACTAACATAACAATCTTTAGCTTCCTTACAATAAATATTCATAACCTAGTGGATCATGTAAAATATTTTAAATCATAGAAACGCGTAGCACGTGATTGTTTACAATAAGGTAGCACCACCCATTAGTTTATTTTTAAATGAATCAACATGGATTTGGTGGGAACTTGCTAAATGGGCTCTTAATATTTCGAGAAAAAAAAAGCAAAATTATAACAAGACAAATTTATGTCTTTTTTTAATAAGCAGTAATAGGTTTCTTTTAACGATCTTTTGACAACAGCTTCACTGTTACTAGGCAATTATTCAATTTATTTTATCACGTACCGGTAACCAAAGCCTTAAAGTTGTAGTTTAATAAGTACATGACGTAATATATGACATACCCAAGATGATTTTCCGGCGGCTAGCGTGTGGTTCCTCGGTGTATACCCACTCGAAATCAGTCCTAGACACTTTGGCACCCATTTGGTCTAGTAACTTAATAGAAATCAATTACTGTATTTAAACAATTTATAAATGCACTATTTCGAATACCTAAGTTTATAATTAATAAATAAAATGAGCCGCAAACAAGTTGTCACTATTATTTTATTCGATTCAGTTTTATTTTTCTGCAAAAAGTACGACAAAACCCAGCCCGTTTCGACGAAAATCTTTGACGAATTGATTGACCGAGTGACACTGACACTGACAACTTATCAGTAGTAGTAGTAGTTTCGTCCATTGGACAGGCGAAGGAACTAAGCCATACAGCCAAATTTTAGGACAACTTATCAACATATGACATTGATAGTAGTAAGTATTATAATCTTAGGGGCAATAGGATTTTAGTTCATACAGTCTAAAATTCCGCGATGTAGATCAGATTTATATTTTTTTATGTTTGTTCAGACTCAACTCCACAAAAAACAAATAAATTACTCATTTACATTCCTGCGTTAAATTTACAGAATACCACCGGTGTTTATAAGTATAAAGGGCAACGAATTATTTCTTTACTTTTATGAAACTTTTCGCAAAATTATATCATTTTTAAAAACCAATATCTACCAACTTGTATTATATTTATAAGAAGTTTATTATATTTTTACGATTCCTTGACTTGCATTTCTTAATAATAACCCACCAAAACCCGGAAAGTTTTTTTCTTGCAACCATGATTGCGAGATCGTTTAATGGGGAAATATTTAAAAAAATAAAGAAACTTCAAAACTTCATTTCACTAGATGGCAGCACAAATTGTAGGATCTAAATGTCAATTCATGGCGTTAAACCAAAGATAATAGAATTGACAGTGTTTTTATAGATCTGATAACTCGGATTAATATCGAGGTGAAATTCAATGAGGAAGTATTAAAAAAAAAGAAAAGCACTAAAAAAGCACCTCACTAAATGGCGACTCTGGCAAAAGTTGATTTTTGCAGGAAACGAATGGACCAAAGCCAGTCATTTCCGTTCCTTTTACCTAACATGTAAAAAAACTGAAATTTGAAAAGTTCGAAACTTAGATATCAATACAAATACGAAAAAGTACAAATAGAATATGAGTTTTGAAAACTAATTTACTTTTAAACATGAAAGAAAACCGGAAGGGTTGTCATGGATAAATCAAGAACGTACCGTAGCGACATCTTGTTTTATTTCGGGAACTAATGTTTTTTTTAAATACTTCCTCATTAGTTCGAGTTACGCAAACGCAACGCAACGCAAACAATCCTGGAAAAAATTTCTTGATTATTATATTAAAGTTTGTATAAAGGAAAATGGAAACTAACATAATGGAAGTGAGCATAGCCCAAGTAACACAAAACACCATTATATCAAACTTATAATAGCATGAGTCCAAGCGTTAAGCATTATAATAAAATCGTATATCAACCGTATTTCTTTTAAACGACTCTTATACGTAGAATTTGCCCCCCCCCCCCTTTGTACGACTTTAAGCTTTATAAAAGCTGTGCAATAGCACTACAACTTTTGTATAATAGCATTAATAAAGTCGGGTAAAAGCATTCTAATAGCCACAAAAAGTTCAATTAGCACCTTAAAGTGCTAATTGAACTTTTTGTGACTATATTACAATTGATATGCGGAAATCAAAATTATAATACGTTAATTTAATGTTATAAAAGTGCTTACTGTTTTATTTCCTTTGTAAAAAAAAGTATATTTAATATATTTTAAAGATATATAATTGGTTTAAATTATTGTTTTGTGGGTCATGACATGTTCTCTTGGTTGATCTTTTAAGTCTTTTTTTAATATTGAACAGGAGAGTACTAACATTTATACAGCTCGTTATGAGTGAAATAAGCTGCAAACATCAGTTTGTGGAGTAAAATATACAAGTTTATGGTGTAAAATACACGCGCCTTCACAAACTTCCTTTAATATAATAAAATTAATAGAAAATTTAACCTAGTAGCAAAAATTTTTGTTGAATTTTAGGCTTTTAGCATTGTTTTAACAACATAATTGCTTTTATAGGCATCTGTGTACAAAATAAATAATTATTTACCCCTTTTCATCTGACACAGTTGACTTTAAATATTATTGTAAGAAATGGAAAAAGAAAGCAAATGGCGACTCGTAAAATTAAAGCATTAGGTATTCAAATAATAATTAGTAAAGTATGTAGTAGAGCTGTTAATCGTATTATGGTTAGACACAAAACTAAGAGCTCGTAATTCACCGTATAACACACTCCCATTTTAGGTACAGCCGTATTTTAACACTTCAGAAGTATCTTATAGTGCTTATAATCATCAAACGATTATTTCAAGTTTATTTTGATTTTTAAAAGCTTCAATTAAATTAGAATACTCTTTTTTCAGTTTTCTTTTTTATCCACCTGTTTTCTTTGTTTTTCCCAACGTTTTTTGTCCATGGCGCCAGCAATGCGTATAAAATGCCACCATTACAATACAATACATAAAATAATTTTACATAAAAATAATTACGATCTATTTATGACTTGTATCTCTATAAATAACTTAATATTTATCAAAATATAGCCTAATGTTTGATAAAAGCATAGATTAAGAAGATAAAGGAGCTTGAGCTTGATTAAAGAAAACTTTAAGAACAAAGTTTTACTTGTTCTTTATTCAATGTGTATATAGGATAAGCATTAAATCGATACCACCATAGGCCATTAGAAAACCTTTGTTTCTAGAAAATGACTAAATACAACTAAGTGCACTAAATAATATTACGTTAATGCTTATATAATATATAATGTTTTTCATATCACCGAAATACGATAACAGCTTTATATTATTACCCAATACTTAAATATGAGTTTTGACATTGGTATACTTTTTTTATTAAACATAATATGGCATTAAGCATTATTAGATAAAATAAATGCCTTTAAACAGATTCGAAACTTGACCAGTGCTGATTAAAAATGTTAGTATGACTTTAGGACATAAATCGGTACTTATTTTAGTTAATATATTATGTATGTGCTACTTGGGAGAGAAGGTTTTTTTTAAAGTTATGGAAATCAATGGAATTAATGCTGTGAAATTATTAAAAGTGGTATTTAGCTACGATTTACAATAATATTACCGTAAAATAGTTTTTATAAATAAAAATTTATGCCATAGTAGTTCTAGGAATTTTTAATTATAATATTTAACAAAAATTCTGAAAACAGTAACAATTAAGTAAATTAGTCTCAATCATATTTTTATATTATGTGTGGTGAATGAAAGAATAGGCAACAAAGGTCATAAAAGCGACGATTATAATAAAAAATCCGATTAATATCTATATACTTACCCGATATGTATGAAATATACTACTCGTAGGTATGCGTACAAAATAACGTGTCTTCTGGCTATAATGACGTTTGTGCAAAGTATAAGAATAATAATGATATATTGGATTTTCTTTAAATTGGTATAAAGCACAGAACAATATGGTAGAAAGTAAGTTTGCAATGGCAATAGTAGCCCTGCTTTTGACATTTACCCATCAAATTTCCCTTCTCTATGACATTTGCGTTTGTGACCACAAACAAAAATAGTCTTTCTTTCCTAAGTTGTGTGTGAACATGGCGGTCGGTAAAAATAAGGGGCTGTCGAAAGGTGGTAAAAAAGGTGTGAAAAAGAAGATGTAAGTCTGCAATAAGTGTAAATATTGTTAGTTTATTCTTCAAACCTTTATATACATTTAAAACAACACAACTGAATGTTGTGATCGACGTAATAATTATAGATACAAGTTGGATGTCTCGTGACAGTTGCACTTTATTTTTGTGAATAAACCATATTTTTTAAAGTAATGCATGCATACCTTCGGTTTCTATAGTTTTCAGTCTAAATGCTAGAGTTTCTAGCAAACTTTCCTGTAATGAGGTTATTCATATACTTTATAATGTTGAGTGAGGTTATATCCAATGTAATAATTTTCGTTGCAGCGTCGACCCGTTCACACGTAAAGATTGGTATGATGTCAAAGCCCCGTCTATGTTCACCAAGAGACAAGTGGGCACCACCCTTGTCAACCGTACCCAGGTATGCTTATAGCCTCTACCTACCAATAACTTCAAATAGTTCTGTATATCTTTATTAAAAAACTGGACCTATGTTAAGTTACTGTCACGTGTTGATTTTTTTTGTAGATTGAATTTGAGGGTATTGTTTCAATGTAATAACCTATTTACTAAATCCGCTCACTTAATATTTGAGCAAAGATTGATTTGTTGGGATTGATTGACATTTTGAATCCTTGCAGTGCATTGATATTTCGTTACTTGCAATTTTAATTTAGTATGCATTGTTTTTGTTTCATATCAAGATAAATATGCCATGTGTTTAGGTTTATCTCTAGCAACTTGTCCTATTATTTGTCCAGCAGAACAACTGTAAAATCCGAACCCAAATTCGAAAACACTCATGTGGCCGAATTCTCGTCATTTAGTATAGAAATTCTATTAATTCCGTTTTTGTATAAAAATACAAAACAAGATTGATTGATTCTTACATGCCTCAAATAATCTATTCCTATATCATTTCAAAACTCATTCATGCCACGAAACATTATTATTGATTGAAAGTTGAGCAGATGCTGCTTTTGAAGTGAATTCAGACACCCAAGTCAATTGGGGTCGGAATTTTTACAGGATCTCAAAATTCATTAAATTAAACTATATAATAAACTACATTGTAGTTTATAATAAACTACCTACAGTAAAATTGAATAATATTAGTAAACAGTTTTAGGTTCTAAATGATGATCTACCTAGCTCGCAATGATACATATCTGATGAAAATGTTTGTTCCCTTTATATTTCACTCTGATGAATTATGAAAATACTTTGAACTTATGATATTTCCACAATATTTTTGTTAACAAAGATTTAATTTTTCTTTTCAAGGGAACAAAAATTGCTTCAGAAGGCCTGAAAGGACGTGTCTTTGAAGTATCACTGGCTGATCTTCAAGCTGACACTGATGCGGAAAGGTAGGTGAAATTAACATTAAGCTAAAATAGTCAAAATACAATATTCTTAAAATGGTATGAGCATTTCATACATTTCTAGCTTTTGTGCAGTGTTTCTACCATGTGATTATCTGTACATTGTGTTTCTCAAGTCAAATTAAATATTGCTCTAAAAAACCAGTTTTTATCTCTTAAACTTGTGTAAACCAAATCTGTGGTATTCTGACAAGTGCTGATGTCAGTGAAAGACTTATTATACAGTTGCTAACTTTATCTTCTTTTTGGTATATCTCTTATTTATATTGTCACACTCTGTAGCAGAGTGGTTTGCACATCAATTTCAAGGAGTCGCTATCTCTGAGATCCCGGGTTCTATTCCTGGTCAGGTCAACATTCAAAAAGGACATTTTTTTTATTGTCTCTGGTCTGGGTACTGTGGTAAATTAATTGTCTCGAGAAATCTAATAATTTAGCTTGGCTTTAGCTAATCATCTTGGATTTTGAGCAATGTATGTGATTTTGTTTAATATTATATATATTACAATTATAATATTATGTAGCAGTCCAGCTATATGAAAGATGAACATGTCTTTTATATCGTTTCAAACTGCTTAAATTAATGCAGTCTCATTATAAAGAATCTGTTATATTTTTACAGATTCGTTTATGGTGTTGCTACATTTTATGTTTCAATATTAATTTAGGATGAAATTTGATTTACAACTGGTGATGATGATAGAAATAGAGTAGACCTGTTGGGACATTTAAATTGAGTATGTTTTATGTGACAGGTCTTTCCGGAAGTTCCGTTTGATTGCCGAGGATGTCCAGGGACGCAATGTCCTCTGCAATTTCCATGGCATGGACCTCACCACTGATAAACTCAGGTTTGTTACACTATTCCCCCCTTCTTTTGGTTCTGTTCTGTATAAAAAATGCTGGGATAATTTTTAAAAGTTCATTTTCAGGTATAAGAATTAGGTAATTTGTTTAGTTATAATTATGGGTATAAATACCACACAACTTCATATTTGAATTACAAAATCAGAGAAAAAGTATCTAAAGTGCACATATTTTAATTTTAAAACACCTTTATCAGTCTGTAATCTGCAAAGTGAACAATTTTTTTTTTGTTATTGATTCTGATGGTATATAATAATGGAAACAATGCATTAACATACGAGACTATGTGGTTGATCAAGAATTTTCTCATAAGCATTTGCAGTCCAGCTATATGAACGTAACCTCATGGTCTTCATATCGTTTCAAACTGCAAATACTAATGCTATGACATGATACAGTGACTTTGCAACATTTGCAAAGCCCATTTGTGTCATTGCTACATTTTAAAATCTTACTATATATTTTTATACAAAAATCCACATCTTAAAAGTGGATTGATAATATTCCGAAATTTTTAATATTCATTTGAATTTGATGTTAATTGTAGCAAAACTCAATTCACAAGTCATAAAGCATTTAGTGGCAAATTCTTCATAATTAGAAAGAATGTTCACAAATATCTCTATATTCTTAAAATTCCTGAGTATTTATGGTTTTAAATTAATAGGTAATTCTCATAAGAAATACGGACAGGGTATTTTCAAGATAAGGATGAATGTTCTCTAATAAATTTTATATAAAAACTTTGATATACTTGCACTATATTCTACCTAGTATGAAACAACTTAAAAAAATTGTATTTAAATTAAATCAAAATCATTTGTTGAGTTTAGACATGGTTCAGAAGTGTATGGGTGGGAGAGCTTTGATTGAGAAGTTTTTTTTTTCTCCCTGTTTTATTTCATACAGAGAAGATTGAGAAACGACTTCATTAAAATATGATTTAATTTACTACACACTTGTGAAAATTAAACCATACTTAAAACCAAGCAGTTTGTCGTTTAAAAATTTGTTAACAGTATAATATCCTTTACAAAGTAGACAATTTTTAATATTAGTCTTAAATTTAGAATTCCATACGAATTTTGTTGTGTTGTTAACTTTCTTTCTTTAGCCTACATGATGGAAAAACAAGCTTATCTTTGTTTCTAGTATTAAAATTGTGTACATAAGTAACATAACTGTTCATATTGTATCTAACATAAAGTACACAGTTATATATAAATTGGGTGGCCGGTTGGTGTCTATATCCCAATTTTTTTGAAGTTATCTCTAAGTGATGTTTTAAAACCTAATTGATAAATAACAGCTATTACTGCTCTTTTTTGTAAAATAAATAAAGAAATATAATATCTGCTCCTATACATAGAATACCGTACGACATGACTATGGAAAATAATTAAAGTATACTGTCCTGGAAGTATCTATACCTGTGAGTTGTCTGATTTATCATATTGCATAGGCAACTGAACTAAGTTTTCCAGACAATAATGAAATGTGAGGATGCCAATGCAATTTAAAATTCAGCATTACACCCAAGATGATCAATCTACTCAAGCTTTTCATATTCTATCACAGATGGATGGTAAAGAAATGGCAGACACTCATAGAAGCTAACATTGATGTGAAGACTACAGATGGGTACTTGCTGCGAGTGTTCTGCATCGGATTCACCAACAAGGACACGCTCAGCCAACGCAAAACCTGTTATGCTCAGCACACCCAGGTAAAGTTTTAAGCTAAAGAAATAGCTTAGCATTTGAATCCATCACTCCAAATAAGTGTTCTTATTGATGTATACTGCAATATGTAGGGTTATGACAATATGTTCACTGTTGATTTTAAATTCTACTATCAATGCAATAAGTCTTACAATGAAATGGAGAAATTTCAATCAAGTAGCACGCCACCCACAAGTATCCACACGTCTAACGTCAGCTGAACGTGAATGAGCCTTAACTTGTATTTTATATTTAGCTTATTGAAACAAGACTCCATATAAATTGTAATCATATGTTCAGTTATTGTCAAAATTGGTAGATCTGTGTTGCGAAAACCCAAGATTCAGGATGCACCATTAGTTTGTACATACTGTGTCGTAGTGGAGAACCATTGTATGTTAATAGGGAATGTAGTCATTTTGTAGCATTTGCTTTTGATAAAAAAAACCTGACATTGTATAAAAATGAAAGTAGTGGAAAATATTTATGTAATTACTTTGAAACAAATGGTTTTAAATAATGTTATTTAACAAGCAAATAAGTCTCTGGTTTTAATTCGTCTGTAAAATGACAATGCTGTTTGCAAATTTTTAGGTACAGATCAATTTTACCAATTTATTCGCAATTGCCCCTTGAGCTCCTCCACAACCTCTGTTTAGGGGTGACAACTGGGTAAAAGAAAATCTATTTAGTCTTTCAGTCGGATAATAGAAAAGTATTAGATTTTTTATTAGATTATTTATTATAATTTAAACGAGAAACAACTTAGATACTAGGTATTATTAGAGTTGCGGCTCAATGTATCGTCTGTATAATGTATAATTTATTGATTGCGCAAAGAAATTAAAATACCTGTTAATTATTCTACAAACACAAAAATTAGTTATCATCCCCATTGTCATATTCACAATAATAATCTGTCTTTAGGTCAGGGCTATACGCAAGAAGATGTGTGAAATCATCACCCGTGACGTGACCAACTCTGAACTGCGTGAAGTTGTCAACAAACTGATACCGGACTCTATCGCTAAAGACATTGAAAATGCCTGCCGCAGCATCTACCCACTTCGGGATGTTTGCATCAGGAAGGTATGCTGTCCTTTTTACTTATTCCTGGCTAATTCAGTCTAGTAATATAAATGATTCATCTATACTGTTTTCTATTTTGAAATATATCTGTGGTTAATTTACTGATGACAACTGAGGTGGTTGTGATTTTTATAATTGAGTGTTCAAATTGTGTCAGTAATCAAAATATTTGTTTTAAAATCCAAAATGATGACAAACCTAGCTCGCAATGATACATACATGATGATAACTCATGTTCCCTTTTGATTTTTATCTGAAAGTCTTCCTTCATTTTGCTTTATAAATATAAAATTTTGTTCGGTCTATTAATAAAGTTACATTCTTCCAGGTTAAAGTGTTGAAGAGGCCAAGGTTTGAGATTTCCAAGCTTATGGAGTTGCACGGCGAAGGTGGCGGCGGCAAGAGAGGCGAAGCGGGCGACAAATCTGAGCGGCCTGAAGGCTATGAACCGCCCGTGCAAGAGAGCGTTTAAATAAACTTTTAAAAAAGGATTTATTTTCGTTTTTTTTTCCATGAGTATAGTCTCAAATGTGCGGTTAGACCCAAATAATATGGCGCATCCTTAGATAAATCGTAATCTAAGGGCGCATTGGAGCAGAGTTGCGTGGGTGAGGCTGTCGGCACCATCTTCGATTTTGATATAAAAAATCAGATTTTGATTTTGAAACCTATGAGATCGACAACCAGTAACTTATTAGAATATAGAAACTTTCTCTCTTTTGCTTTTACTAAACGCCAGCAAGTTGACTCAATCTATACTGATTTTTCAAAGGCATTCGATAAAGTTGGAATCATATTTATGTAATAGAAGTCAACTTGTTGCAATAAAGGGACATCTTTCGGCTCCTCTCATTATTCATTCTGGCGTACCACAGGGCTCACATCTTGGTCCGCTTTTATTCATAGTCTTTGTTGACGATCTTATACAGAAGTTATCATGCCACTGTCTACTATATGCGGATGACTTGAAGGTCTATGCGATTGTGGACAACGAAACTGATGCTGAAGTGTTGCAACAAGACCTGAATACGATCGTCAAATGGTGTGACAAAAATTATATGGTTATAAACATAGATAAGTGCTTTGTCGTTTCTTTTACTCGAAAAATTAAGAGATTGAATTATGATTATAAGATTAATAATCAATCACTGAATCGTGAGAGTAAAGTAAGAGATCTAGGAGTTATTTTTGATGAAAAATTAACTTTTCATGCTCACTATGAAAGTATTATTAATAAAGCGGCACAGATTCTAGGATTTGTATCCCGCTTCACTAAAGGTTTTAGACGTCCAGACAGTCTTGTTTATTTATACAATGCTCTTGTCAGGAGCATTCTTGAATATTGCAGTGTGGTTTGGAATCCGATTTACAAGGTTCACTGTGATCGAATTGAGAAGATACAAAAGAAATTCACGAGGTTACTGTGTTTTCGGTATGGGTCAAAAAGGACGCTTGTATCTTACCAAGATAGACTAAAAAAATTTGGTCTCACGAGTCTTGAGAGTCGCCGCAAGTGTAATGACTTACTATGTTTGCACAAACTATTACACTCTGATATTGATTCGCCAACCTTGTTATCACATCTTAATTTCAAAACTAAATTTAGATCTCGTGATGTAAGTCACTCGGTGTTCTCCTTGAGGGTATGCACAAATAATTCCTCCTATTTCAATCCACTTGTTCGAATGTGTCGCTGTTATAACGAAATCGCTGTGCTTGACAAAGATATCGATATTTTTCACTTTTCATTTGTGAAATTTAAAAGAAGCGTAAGAGAGCTTTGCACCTAAATAAGGAATAAGAAACAATAAATAAAATAGGGACTTATCAATGTTAAAACGAATTTTCTTTTCTTTTCTATAGTTTGTAAAATATATGTATATAAACATTTTTTTTTATTAATTTTATGAGACAATTATTATTACCATGTTGTGTACGCATAGTTCTAGATTGTAGTCCAGACCCAATTATTTTGTCGAATATGTATTTACTTTTTATGACTGTAATCTGTTTTGTGTGCCTTATTCTTTCAAGATCTATACATCCATACCTTATTTAACGATTCGTTTGAAATAGGGTGTGATATTTTGTCGCAGTTCCACCACGCTCGACACTATATTTCCTATACTGATGAATGTGTATGTATTGTGCGTGAATTGAACATTGTTCGTATTACTTATAATAAATTGTACGTTTTGGTTTGCAGCTCAGGTTCATAGTGTAAATAAAACGTTTTAGTAATGCCACAAAGCTAGTCTCATATTATTGTGAAGAGATATCGCTTGTGTTCCCGCTCCTAACAAACTCATTTATCGGAGCATTGGGGGAAAAAAACCAGTGAAATAACCTGTGGCGTAACTACGCCGCTTGAGGCCCGTGGCAAATCCATCGGATGTTCAATTGTCAGGAGTAAGGAGTCTCTGACCGAGGCCTCCTTTCAGCTGGGGGTCCGTGGCATTTTGCTGACATGCCACCCTGTAGTTACGCCACTGGAAATAACCTACCATTTATTTATGGATGTGTAACGCTTGCCGATTTGTGGTGTCATTCGTAATGTTTGCTATAATTTTACCATCAGGAAAGTTTGCTTTCTGCTGATAGAATTTGGCAAGCTTTATATTTAACTTCTCAATACTCAAACAGTTTATTGTTTCCATAGGTAATTTAAAATATTTTTACATAGTTTAATTTGTCTCGCTATGGCGGAGCACTATGTTTTATTATAGTAATTTTAAATAAATAAATAAAACAATTAAAATTTTTCAATTTTGCTTTATTATTATATTGTATTCTACATAAATATATTGTATTTATATATCCGGTATTACTAATTGTTGTTAATTATCCATTAATTCATTCTAAATATATATTAATTACTTGTCTATAAAATATGTATGATATTATATTTATTAAAATTTACGTTTTAAATATTTTGACTTTTAAATATTCCGATATAATAGCTCTTATTTTTTTTCATTATCAATAATTTTTTTGTCATTTATAATTTATATATTGGGCAGATTGCTATAAATTTTTATTGACATGATAGCTTGAAGAATGATGTTAGATTTTAGAAGGTGGCAGTATTAATTTATTTCTAGGTCGTATTAGGTTTAATTATGGTATCGTCTCGCTCGGTATGGAAATTTGGGTATTTTAGAACAAACTTGCATAGTTCAAGTATATATGAACAAGGTAGCGTTAGGATTATATATTTTTATAGTGAGGCTTGCATGCTTCTGTTTCATATATATTAAATATTATTTTCACGAGTTTCATTTATTTCGTTAATAAGGAAGGAGCATCAGTGCCACGTCTCCACAAAAATATTCCATAGCTAAGCCATGCATGCGCGTATGCCGCATAAGTTATTGCCGTTTTTATGTAGATACAAACTTGTAACTGTAGTTTTCTTTATTTCACGTAACGCGTATATAAAAAACAAATTGCTCAATTTTCGATGTATTTTCTCTATATGTGGATTCCAACTAACTTTAATCGATAATTATTCAGATTCTCGATTTCTATAGCTATAGCTAGACTTATAGCGACACAGGGTGGGCGATAGCTCCCCTGGAAAGTTTTTTTGAATTCATTATAAGTACAGAGTTCTAGCTATGGCACTGCCAGATTGACGTCAGCCCAGCAATGAGGTAACGTAAAACGTCAACGTCAAAAATTAAGATTTTTTGTAGTCAAGTGATTTGGGTGGGGGTTAGTCTTAAACTTCACCATGTATCACCAATGAGGAGGGGAGGGTTGGGTTCAAAATGCTGAACATATCACGTGATTAATGGTTGAACCCATTCTGGATTTTGTTACCTCTTGTCCTTCTCTTATCAGTAGGTATTTCGTCACCCACCAAAACAGTGGAGGTAAATAAAACCAGCCATTTTATGGGAATATTTATATTATAGCAGTCTATATTTCATCTTCTTATAATAATATTTACAAACTCGGACTGCATTAACAAAATATAAGAAATAACTTTTTTATGAATTCGTAGGCATTTTATAAATTTTACAGACAATATTTAATCTATGAAAAAACTTAAAAACGATCCTCTCGGGCAATTAAGCGGAGTCTGACGATTTAAGAGTTGAAAAAATAAATATTTAAACACATTAAATGTATAAATATATATATATAAATATTCTGCAATAAGAAAAATAAAGAGACAGTATAAAGTTCTCTTGTTCTGTTGTTTAACGTAAATAACAACTACGAGTTAAAATCAATTCAGTTTGTTATAAATAGCCATAAATTTAAATTAAAGGCACAGCCTGTATTTTTGTACAGTCAACGGCGGTAGGCTATACAAAACTGTCAAATTTATCAACTTAATTTTAAACTTTGATGGATTGTAGGTAGAGTTAAAAATCGATTGAGGAAATTTGACATTGTGGTAGCCTGCCGCCGTTTGTAGTTAGAAAAAGTATACCTTATCACGTACAACTACGAAATTGAAGCTTTAATCTATGTAAATATCTTATACTTAAGTATACTTATCATCTATGTATAATATGTTCATAGAGTAGGCGTCAAAATGAAAGAGATGACGAAACGGACAATAACTAATGGAATGGAATAAACATGGAAAACGATACGTATTGCTAACCAAAGACCTCTATCGTTTCCGCGTAATGCTCAGCGCCGTCAAAATCATAATTTTACACAGTTAAAAAAACAAACAAGTTTCACAAAAATGACTTCGTATAAGTACTACATTGAACTACGATGGAATTAGAAAGCGCACTATCAAGTTTCTGTCTCGGTTGGAACAAATCGTAGTCTATTGTCGTATGGGGTAGAGTTTGCTTCCTGCAGTATCCGTACCTACAACAAAACGCAATACCTATCGCGTGAAGACGATACTGAGGTCTTTGAATAGCGACATATATCGTTTACTTTCGACACACGAATTAATATGTGTCACACGTTTTTCGCCTGCCCTAAGAACATAATAAAGGTACCTACTTCTAATATTACTTATTAGCCTTTAGCACGATAAATTCAGATCGCTTTGGGGTAACCAAGGAAACGGGCAAATTTCGAAAATGACGATTTACCACTGAAGCATTCTATTATTGCACAAAATATGGTAACTTACTTAAGTCATAGTTATTATATTTGATACATTTTGCATTTACAATGCTATGAAAAATATTCTTAGTGAAAAACGCTTAAAAACTCCACTTGGTCCCTGAGCTACCCAGGACCAAACAGGACTGACGAATTTTTTAAGTACTTGTTACTTTTTCACAACTACAGATAATGTCATAGAATAAAAAAGTGTCTCATATACTATTAAACAGCGTGCAATTACTTGAATAAACTAGAAAATACCTTTAATTATTTGGAACTTATTGTTATATTTAATAATTCATTTAAATTAATTATAAAGTGGAATCAAATCACCTGATTTATTTCGGAAGTACACGGAATTCATGACTATCCCCCAAAAAAAAAGTATAATTTTAAATTGTAAAAATAAAATAAACACTTTCATTAAATTCATGACATGGAATGTATCGCCAGTTATCAGTTATTAAACTTATTATTTAAAAAAAAATTACATATCTCAATTGAACCATGATTTTTGACAAAAAGTTCAAATTAGCTTACAATGATATCTTAATATAGCTTAAAAAATATTAATTGCGCTGATAATGTACTCCTACTCTTATGAATTTAGTGAAACATATATCTTTTAATATTTTTAACAAATTGTTAAACCAAACAAAATTGTAAATCGTAAACATCGAAGCATGTGTAACGTCGTTACCATATCGAAAGCTGAATATGGTTCAGGCAGTCCCTATTGATGGGTTATCACAAAATAGGCGTGCCCTTTGCGGGTTGGTGGGCGTTAACGAGTACAAATACAGCCGGGACCAACGATTTCATGTGCCTTCCGAAGCACGGAGGAGCTGGAGATAATAAATTTTTGGTCGCCCATCCTATGACCGGCCCTTATGAAAGTTGCTTAACTTCGGTATCGTTTACGGAATGTTATATGTTAATCCTAATTATTGCGCCGTCGAGTTCTTCGAGGAGTCTATTACTGTACATAGGTAACTAAAAAAAAGAAAATTCACACACACACACACACATTAAACACACACCTACGCACACTATTGGTAACGTTAAATCATTCGTAATTTTAATTATGAGTCATTCCACAGAACTAAGAAAAAGCCATTCAAATATTAAGTATGCGGCCAAAGTAGGTCAGGACTTGCTTTGCTTATTTTGGGGGTAGGTGTTAACAACTTAATCTACTTAAAATGTGCCATTTTTTTATTAAAAGGTAGGTAGGTAGACATAAGTCCCGTTAATTGCTAATGCGTTCTACCTTGTCTAATAATACCCGCGTGACGTCTTATGAAAATAGAAAGTATAGATAGCACAAAAGGCAAGAGATAAATTATTATCAATTATTGAAATATAATCCTCAAAATATTGTTATAATAGTTAATTAAAATTTAGTTCGTTGTCGTTAGAAAAGAATCAATGTATATTGAGGAATATGGTAATAAAAAAAATATGAATAAAACTAACATTCACTTTGTTTTAATGAGAGTACAAACAGCAAGGACATTTTCTTAAAATATAACCAAAGGTAATTATTATATGAGAGACATTGCTATATTTATTGTTAGTGAAAATAAGTTTACTTTTTGTGAAAATCATAATAGCAGTTGTTATTTTAGTCCACCATAAGAATTAACAACAAAACTTAAAAATGACAACCGAAACCAACAAAACATAAAAAAGAATGTACGATGTCAACACAACCCAACTCAATAACTGTACTCGTCAACCAATGTTTATTTGTTAAGGGTACTGATTTTTGAACGCAATTACGTTAGCAAAATGGCGGCCAGACGCATTAGGAATTGGCGGGAATTATACTAGGTATTGATCGATTTGATAATATTGGAACATTTTAAAAATATGCACCAATTTTAATATTGTATATATTTCTGTAAATAACTGGTACATTTTTGCTCCTTTCATTAATCCTACTAACATCGGAGATAGAGAAACAAAAAAGTTTTTATGTAATAATTAAGAAGCATTAAGTTTCTATGTGATAACTTGCTCTGTGTTCACTGCCATATTAAAACATTTATATTTAATTATGAATTTACAAAAGTTACTATTTTTCTTTATAGGAAATAGGTTGTAACTTAATAAATATTAAATAGTCTAAGAAGTCGTGACACAAATGTGAGAGAGCTTTCGAAAGCTCTTGCACATTTTTAACACGAGCTCTCCGTCTATAAATATGTTCTTACTATACTACATCATAGGGCAAAAATGTTGCATTCTTAAACTAGTTATCAAAGGGAAATAACTAAAGGGGAATAATCACTAATTATTTTTGTAGTAAAAAGTAAAAAAGAACCATTGTCTCTCCTAACACACCCCGTTCGTTGCGTAGTAAAAGAAATACTAACAATTTATGAATGATTACAGATATGCGATGAGAGATGATGCGATTACTAAAATTCTGCTCACAAAACAAATTTTCCTCAAGATATTTGTTAATTCTTCATTTCAGTTTCGATCGGAATTTTGAGTGTAGCACAAGGTTTTTGCCGGCGTCCTATTAGAAGTACGAACAGACATATCCCCGATATGAACAGAGCGGCTATGCTCGTGACGGCGAGCCCTAATTGGATGGCAGCTGTAGAGAATGTGCCGTGATATATGAGCGTTCGAAGACTCTCCGGAAGATCTTCCACAACCTTGAATAATGATAAACAACAAATTTAAGCATCATCATCAGCCTTCCTGTTTGGAATCGACTCAAATAGAGGCAGAATAGGCCAATATACCCAGCATGCGGGCCAGAGCGGATTGGTGGGTGAACGCAGCCGGGATCAACGAGTCAACGTGCCTTTATGATAATAAATTTTTGGTCACTCACTCTTCCTGGGGCCGGCCCTTGCGAAAGTTGCTTAACTCCAAAGATATCTTTAGTGTTTGTTTATAAAATTTCGCTTGAGGAACTTCAATTTTTTTTTTTAATAAATAATAAATAATTTCTTTATTTTCAAAAAGAGATAAGTATGTCTGCTTGATTTAAAAATTTCCTGCTTTTATTTTTGTAGCTTGTAGTTCAAACGTAACTGCTGTTATAGCAATATAAAAATTTGTTTTCTACAAAGAAGCAAATAGAAATCGAAATTCTACGCAAGAATTAAATTATGACATACATAAAAATAGTTTTCTTACCATTTCAACCCAAGCGATGGGTAAAATTAATCCTTGGTTTAAAAATCCTAGAGCGGAGATCATGTTTGATTTCACTACTTGCATATTTATTTGTAAACTGAAATAGAAAATATGAATTCAGTATATGAATGAATGAATAGTTTATTGTTATAAGTAGATACACCACAATATGTCACTTTTCCGCGATTTGGAACTCTAAATTGAATGTATATGAATCCGACGAGGTTCATCAACAAATAATTTACATTTTATTAAAATTTAAATAATTATTAATTGGAGTAAACAGTAGTATTTCTTCATGTTTACTTTGGTAGTTCATTTATACTGAACTACCTAACTATAAGACAAAATTGTAATTGGGATAAAGATAAATATTTTTTTATTATAATCATATAGAAATAAATGATAATAATAAAAAATAATATTATATAGAAATAAACTCAAAGTATTACTTTAATTGCATAAATGCCGATTCTGATCTATTCACTCTCTGAACTTAACTAAAAATACCAATATGAGTTTGTTTTAATGATATAGTTTCATGTAATCAAAGAAACATAATTTCATTTATAATATAATATAAAAGTTTATTTCTTTTTTTTTAAGCAATTTTCACAATTAAAAAGGTAGTTTAAGAGACCTAAATCTAAATTTAGTTTAGTTTATACAACAGAATTTCTAACTATAACGTAACGAAATCCTGAGGAAGGTATGACAAAGCATTACTAAAGTTGGAAGTACTTCTTACCTGGATTTTCCACGAAGCGCGATCCCTAACGTCGGATGGATGTCTAAATAGTTCTGGTGGATTTCAGGATCGGGTTTGAGGCCTGATATAAGATTCCGGAGCTTCGGATCACCCAAGTGAAAGTGTGGAAATGAAGCGAGGGCTGGTGCACCTAGAAATAGAGAAATAATATTCATTACAATATTGCAAAACAACAGTATTCCAACACAACAAGATATGAACTGGTCATTACTTAAATGCTGAATTTTAGAGGTAACTTTGAGATTTTTTCCATGGAGAAAAGTTTATGAATTCACACTGTCGATTAATATAATATAATTATATAATATTACTACTCGTACGAATTAACATAAGGCCTACTATATTTTTCCGAAAACGAAATTTCATCTATTTTCGAAATGCTAAGTATTACAACAAGGAAATGCATTTTTGGATAATTTATGACGAAATATAAACCATACTTTCGTATTTATTAAACGTACCATATACGGTACATTGCTAAGTTTATGGTAATTAACATTATCAAATGTATGTATAGTAGAGCTTCCAAGGAGAACTTTGGCCGTACCCTGACAACTTTACAGTTAATTTTCGTAAATTAACTGTAAAGTTGTTTAATGTTACTGTAAATTTTACAGCAACAGGTAATTTTACAGTTAGTGCAATGGACTTTTACGTGACAGAGCCTGATTTTATTAAATACTAACAATTTGCTGTAAACTTTTCAATCGATTGAAGAAATTGTATTTTTATCTATAATCTGTATGCTCGGAGCCCCTGCGGTGTATGCACAGAGAATCGAGCCTCACAAAGAATGTCCTTACAGACATCTTTCGCTTCTATAACACACTTATCTCTTTTCACTCACGAGGTCATTAGCGTTTATGACTTCTGATAATATCTTTCGACATCTCGTAAAATCATATTATCGATTTTTTGCTTCTTCTATATCCTTCCACATTAGCATTGTATGTCAGTTACTTCATTCTCGAATGAGGCAATGTCTCAATTTTTGGAAGTCAACGTACCAAATAATACCCAATACCAAAAATAGGGTTAATAAAATTGTAAGAAAAACTCCAAATGTTCGAGAACAAATAATTATGAGGAACCTCTGTTGCATCTAATTATAATGGAAAAATGCTTGTCTATGGTATTAGTATTTCGAAATAAGACTAAAATTTCGTTTTCGGCATCCGAATTCACTTCGAAAGCCAATCTGTCTAACTTATATTAGTGTCGAAATTCTTATATAATAAAATGATCGATAAAGATGTAATTAAATTTTTTAATTTTACTGAGCCTCAGTACGACTAATGAAATGGTAAAATTCTCACCCATAGTACAAGCTGTGACGTTGATCACCCCTCTGGGAGGGCAGGTGGCAGAGTCGATTTCGCAGTAGCATTGGTTTTCAGGGTTGTTTGTAGGGTCATCAAAAACATTGGACGGAAGACGATAACGAAGGAGGAGGATCCCATCGATCTGCGACAAGAAATACGTCATCATATAGCAAATATGAAAGTTTGGACGTAATGTGTCTCTGCCATTTTGATGGGTGATTTCTAATACGTTTTTCAAATTTATTGTGTTATTTTATATTGTAATGGGAAGTGACCTTATAGTATACATTAATTTAAATTGTTTGATTTGGAAATGGCATGGTTTTTGTAAGTGTTTGCTTTCACAAGTGCTCTGTAAAAGCCTAAACTGAATAAATAAATTTTGATTTTTTGATTTTGAACGAGTGAGATTAACACCCAGTAGCACTAATGTCCATAATGTTTTATGACTTTAAGCTCTAATGAATGCTTTAAATTTGAAAAATTTGTATAGATAATGTCGCTTAACTAAATACATTTTTAATGGACTTTTGTGCAACTGAGGGTGCATTTATTTATTTTGTTTTAATAATTCATTAGGTATGATCGAATGTCTGCGAACGGTGGACTTATGACATCACCTTTCAGTTTAAGCAGAATATTCAAAATTCTAGGTTATAGATGAAAAAAAGTTTAAATATACAGAGTCAGTGGTTTCCTACTATAACCATGTATTGAATTATTTTTTCTTAAGATTTCTACATTCTGGTGAGTACTTCACAAATTATCTCGAAAATACACTCACCGCTTGACTAATTTTTTGTTGGCAATGGTACCGGGAAACTTTTTAACGTCATGTGTTTCGAATTTTAATAAATAGCTAAACTTGATGAACAAAATCAGCACGTAACAAACGTGCTCCGAAAAAAATTATAAAAAACGTTCAGTTATTATTTTCTTAGTACGATTGTTTTATTTGATGTATATAGATATAGTTTAAGTGGATTATATGAATAATGCATGTAATTTTGTGTTTTTGCTATGATATTACATTGATAATTAGGCGGATAGCGTTAACAATCACCGCGCAGATAAAGTATTTTGTTACTTTGCATGCATATGACAGAGTTTATTGTCCTTTTTTAAAATGCTTCGTGTTTTGACCGAAAAAGATATTCGTCGGACTCGTCATTCAATGACGTCACCCAACAAAAGATGGTTGTAATTCGTGAGTTTCTTGGTTGGACTCTACGCTGTAAAGACTTTCGTCATCAGACGGCATGTTCTCTAAATAATTAGCAACTGCCATCAGCCAGAACGAAAAACATCGAGAGGATGCGCAATTCAAGTAGTATTCTAGTGTTTGGAAATGTAAAGCTTACAATGTCCCACTGCGTTCGCAAAAAGGGAAAACCTGCTTTCAAGGCTTTTCATAAAAAATAATCTACCTGCCAGCTTTGTAAGTTTCATAAATGAATAAAGCCATTTTAGCCTAACCTTATATTTACAGTTGTTTGAATTTCAAATTCTCGAAAAACCTTCAAGCAAATATTTTTTTCAAGATCCTTTTTACTATCATTATTCCGTATGGAAAAATAATGAAATATGTATTGTACTTAATATAAAAGTGTCCCTGAAAGAGTTAAACGCTCACCTCGACATCCTTCTCATAGACAAATGGAAGTCTTCGACATAAATTAGGGAAGAATATGTGAAGTATCTTCTTTCTGTCAAGTTGTGATGGCGGGAAAATTGATCCATCCGTGGATTCTATGCTGTACACAAGAAAAGAAAGTTTATGAATATTTTACAAGCAGAAATATTTTTTTTTATATAATTATATATGCGTTTATAAAATGTTACAATATTTCACAGTCAATTAAATTTAGTTGAACGTGTGGTCATATTAGAAAAGGATAAACTCCGTGAAAATCGGCTCATGCTCGACTAATTTTTTTGTCAAAGTTCACTGTTTTTTTTTTTTGTATTTATAGGGCGTAGTTTCATATATTGTTTTTTAAGATTAGCCTCTTCAATATTAATTAATTGTTCCGTCATAATTAATCTTATTGACTACTAGCTGTTTTTCGCGCGTAAATTATATAACCTTAGATTTTTTTCTTGATAATTAAGTATTAATATAGAATTCTGAATGCAAAATTTATCAAACATTACCATTAGAGATTGGCTATTCTCAATTTAAGTATAGAGTTTAAACAGAAGCTCATGCCGTAGATGAAGCGAGATGGTAATATTACATATGTAGCGATTTCTCACTTTAATATTAGCATTTGGGTCGCATTTTAATGATCATAGTGAGGTCCTGAGGGTGATGAGTTTATCAGAAGTCCGATAGTAGTGTCGTATGATCATGAATGATGAATTAAAAGCTAATTGCATATCGTTGTACAAGTCGTTAATTTTATGTAAGTAATTATCTCAATGCGCAAAAATTTACTTTCATTAGGGAATAAAAGCATACAAATAAAAAATATATTAGCTACGTATTTAGAACTCCATGAAGTTAGAAAACTAAAAAAACCTACTCTTGAAAAGTCAAGAAACGAGAAAATATTCACATCTAAAATAAATGAATGAACTGTGGGTATCCCATGCTGCAGGAATCTGTCGTATGGGAGACTGAAACTGAATTAAGCCTTCCTTAACCACAAGGAGGATAATGTGGAAACAAGAGTAGCCTGTCAGTAACCCACCTACCCTCAGCGCCTTTTTTTACGTCTAGAATGTTAACCTATGTCAGTCTGATACCTTATTTACTTTCCCGCGATAAAGGAAAAGGATACATATGTACTTATAAAATAATAGTATTGTAATAATGACATAATCACTCAGCCATGAGAGAGGTAAAATACCTTTTTTACCTCCACCTTAGCTCCATTAGTAGGATCAATTGCATATGCTATGGACCCACAGAGACCTGTCCAATAAAAACTCGACAGTGTATCCGTCCGTGTACGCGGGGGATGAGACCCAGGAAGACATAACCGGCTTAATGGAGGAACCATCTTTGGTAAAAAAAGGGACGGAGGTTTTAAGGACGTCGTTTTCGTATTTTCGATGACAAAATCCTTTTAACCATTTCTTAACCTTTTTATTCCTTCCTCAGATTTGTTATGAATATTGAAAACAAAAAATTGCTGTCTGTAGCTAGAGTTTCACGCTCAACAAAACATTTAGTGGTTCATTTTTAAACTTATATGGATCGGTTATGGTTGTAAACATAAACGATGTTTATATAAGATTTTATCATTAACTGAGTTTCTAGTTAACGTCAGGTCATAGTTCAAAATATGTTTTTATTACAATGTCCGCTTTATCACATTAGGAAAAGGGGAAAACTGAATGAAGCCATTCGAACAGAGTTGCCAGTAGAGTGAAATTATTTTATACCGCTAGAAGTCTGAAATTATCTAAAAACAAGCCTTATTTAATACTTATTATACAATTAAAATAGAAAAGGGAGAATATATAATAATTTGAATATTTGCCTTATAAAAAAATATTGGTTTCGATTCATTTAATCCTAAATATTTTCTCTCTCTTTCTCTTCTCTGTATCCCAAAAACAAAAAAAAAAATATAAATATATTTTTCCTTATTATACAATCTGATCTGGCTCTATCCTGAATATGTGTTTTTCGTCTACCCATACGATCAGACAGCCCTGCAATTAAATTCCGCTACCTACCACTGTTACTCGAAATAATCCATGGTAACTTTCTTCTTTGCACACACACGCACTTAAGATTGCGCATAAAAGGAAAGAGAGACTAAATTAGCAGGCCAGTCATTGAGACATTTTATACATACTCGCAATTATTAAAATTATCGTATTTTTTTAAATGTCAAGGAGTACTTTTTGCAAAAATAGGGTAAATGTAATATTACAGGTACAGGAAAATACCGGTTATTAACCAGATTTTTCATAAGCTGTCACTATGAAGAATTCCACTTCCACAAGTACTTTTTTGCTTGGAACCTTGGAAAAAGGAAAAAGTACGCCATTTCATTAAAAATGTTACAATGGCGGCCGATTGCAATATCTAATTTGCTTTCGAGAAGTAACATTATTTTTTTAAATACTTTCTCATTCGTACGAGTAAGTCATTTCCTTCTGCGTCTAGTTATTTTGGCAGTGACCCAACACCAATAACGAACAAGGTTTTGGTCTTTTAATAACTCACCTGTTGCAATCCTGGCCACCCCATATGTTCAGGCTATTTTTTCCTTCTACTTTCTCTATGACATTCATCTTGTCCATGTCTATTTCCCCTGTGTTTATGGTGAACTGCTCCGACAGGGTGTCGTTTTTCTGAAAACAAATAAAAACAAGTTTTATCTACGCCTGTTTTTCTTTCAAAGATTCGAATTTTTAAATAGTCCCTGTTTGTGAATTTGGAAATGAAGAAGGTACCACTGATCAGATTTTTTTTAACTGTCAGAAGTATCCGTCCATATATAATCAACTGCCACCAAAAACTCCCAGTCCAGTTAATCTTGACACTCTTCTATCTATTTCTGACAAACCCGGCTTTGTATGTCTTTGCAAATTTATAAAAGAACATAATATCAAATTACCTATAACAATAAATGTTGCAAAATTCTCTTTTATGTATTTATAAAACTAGCGTAGTTCTTTTGTGTTGTCCTTTTTTAGTAGAGAAAGAACAATCTCAAGGAAGAACTAATTAATTTATGTCGACCGAGATTAAACAGTCGGAATGACTTTCTGAGTTAATAATCTAAATTCTTAACGATATGAATGTAAAATTAACTTGGTACGTTAGGGACCTAACGATCTCCATTTTTTTAAACCGGTGAGTCTAACGTTACACTAGAATCATGTTCCCACAAAAATATAAAAGTCGCGCAAGAGATCTTTTTGAGATCCTAAGTATATTAGAAGATTTTTGCTTACCACAGCCAATAAGCCAAATTCGTTGACTTTCAACTCCCCGCGTAAACTGAGAAGAGGTTTAGCAGCATTGTATATGTAATCTTCGTAGCCCCAAAGGAATCTGTGTAAGATAAGTTTGAGCATTAGCGCCTTTGAAAGACCAAATTCGATTAATTTTTAGGTTTCCGTATTCAAAGGGTAAAAACGAGACTCTATTACTAAAACTCCGCTGTCTGTCCGTCGATCACCTGGCTATATCTTAAGAACCTTTTCATAGATGATCTATTTCTGTTGCCTCTATAATAAAAACAGAATTAAACAAAATGTTTAAAAAATCTATGTTCGGTTTTTTATTTCCTTTGTATCGTCAACGAAATGCATTAAGAACTATTGCCTCGCAAACGACAGCGCTCCTCCGAGAACCCGTCCAGTTTTCAAGGAAACTAAAACCCAGTTTCTATTCCAGCTACTACGTGTTTCGGAAGGCACGTTAAGCCGTTAGTCCAGGCTGCATATGCAGTTGTTTATATATCGTATACTCCCCAATTTGCATTGGGTTAGCGTAGAGTTTTATGGCCCATCCTTCTTAACCATCTACATAAAAGGAAGGCATGAGCTGCTGATTATCTTCTTTGTATAAATGTCCTTAAATAATTTTAATATAACTTCGTGTATATAAACGAAGAAGATTTATTTTCTGGTTCTTCTTAACCACTTTTATTTTGTATCATAATAAGTTGTATTTAAGCATATACGGACATCGTAATTATTTCCCACAATCTTTCCCGCGTAAAATTTAGCCAATGTTACCTGCGTATGATGAAGCTTTCCATAAATGACAGATTTTTTATAATAGGATAATAGGAATAGGTGCCTAACACAGAAACACAGAATAACACAGAAGTAACACAGAATTTGTACTGGCATCCCATGTTGGGCTCCAATTAATAAAGAAGATGATGACGTTTCTTCTTAAAAATGCTATATTTGCATTGAGCTAGATACGATTGGTTCTTGCATTTTAATTATGTCTCAAAATTATTTTTTTCACTTTATTTATATTTATTTAGAAGTAGTAAAGATAGACTAAGAAGATAGCATTTACATATCGGAATGCCCACTTGTTCGCTGACATATTGGAAAATTCTTAATTCCACATTGTTGGCTAATGTGTTGGCCGGCATAAAAAAATATCAATTAACCTATAATAGCTTGTGCCAAATTCAATTTATTCTTACCTATGCACAGGCAGCTGAACGAAAGCCTCCGGGTGGTTGGCAAATGATATTGCTGTTATAACAGGGAATTGAGCGATAGGATTCAAGTTTTGTTCTAGTACTTTCGCCAAACCCTATAAACAAGACATTTATTATATTAGTTATAATGACGTTATCTTTTGTGTATGTTATTTTTTTATTTTCTATTATATATCAATCATAAATATAATAAGAGAAATATTGCGATATTTAACGATATGAATAAATATTATAAATAAAAATTTAAACAACTTGCAAAAACCTCAACCTGATTTCGAATTAATTCATTTGCCGGAAACACGTCATTTAGTGAAGAAATTCTATTGATTTTATTTCTTGTATAAAAATCTAAAATTATATAACTCAAAGGTGACTGACTGACATAGTGATCTATTAACGCACAGCCCAAACCACTGGACGGATCAGGCTGAAATTTGGCATGCAGGTAGACGTTATAACTTAGGCATCCGTAAAGAAAGGATTTTGATAAATTCTACCCCTAAGGGGATAAAACAGGGGACGAAACTTTATTTCAGGTATTTTACACAATATAATGAATAAATATTCGTTAGAAATGCTGCTCGTAGTAACTTTAGCACGCGGACGAAGTCGCGGGCAAAAGCTAGTACAAAATAAAATTGATTGATTATACGTTTCTCAGATATTCTATTTCTATGTCATTTCGAAATTCACTTCACTTATGCCACGAAACGTTATTACAAATTCGAGATTGAGCGGATGCCGCTTTTTGAAGTGAATTCGTATTTGGGTTTGGATTTTTACATAATCCTAGGGCAGATCTGAAACTAAGCAGCCAAATAATTTTAATTATTGGAAACTGAAACAACGAAGGTGCTACAACACCCAGACTGGAGACAATATAGAAGTTCATTTTCTATATTAACCCGACTAGCAGAGCCTAACTCTAATTGTAACTCTAGCTATAGGGTACGACATCTTCGCGATTTTGTAGCGCCATTTTGTTTCATTTTACTACTATTGTACATGTACTGTAATAACTACGAATCAATGATAAAGAATTATGGATATGAATTTGACAGCAGTGTTTTCAGCAACTTAGTAATTTATTCTAGATTATTCCATTAAATGACAAAGCAGTAAAATTAAAGGAAGTGTCGTCTATGATATGAAAAAAAGAAAGAAAGAAAGAAAGAAAGTTTATTGACCACACCTGTCATGAACAGATACAATGATAATGTATAAGAGAAGAAGGAAAAAAAATACAACCATAAAAAAAAATACAACATTTTCATGTAGTAACAGAGTGGTCAACATGGACCCTATCTCAGCGATATAGCCTATCAGCCAATTGCAATAACGGCCATTAAATTTTTTATTTGTTTAAAACGTCATTACCCATACAATTTGACATTCATTAGAGCTTAAAGGCGTCATTAAACCTTAATGGACGTTTATGCAACTGACATTATGTCTAGAGAATTAGACACCTTTAAACATCCTGATTTTATATAGAAGTAACAACTTCTATACTTATCATTAAATTGTGTAACTGTAGATGCTTTCATACATTTATCTGTCCATCGAACTATTAAGAATCATCTCACCAGTAAAGGCATGTTGGGAACAGTAACTTGGTCGAATTGTGCACCGGCTGACTTGTTGGCAAGAAATCTGAAGTCATTCTTCTCCTGATATGTGACGTGGTCGTTGTCGAAAACCACATTCACTCTTTCTAGCTGCTGCCTGAGAAAAAAGTTTCTATTATTATCAAGATCAAGCAATCACCCGTAGGCTAATGCATAATTTCGAAGTCTATAGCTGCTGCCTGAGAAAGAGTTTCTATTTATCAAGACCAAGCAATTACTCGTAAGCTAATGTATAAGTCCATCAGCATCCCTCTCAAATGTATAGTGAATGTGATAGTTATTTAAAGCATTATGCAACTAAAGTCCCAATTGCTATTGGTAATGATGATCTGAATGATCACAAAGCATAATAAAAAGTTAGCCAAGCCCGTCAAATTATTGCAGTTAGTATTCAACTCTTTCGTTTAACATTTCATAATAGCTTTAACACAGATGTTTGCTTCTAACATTTTCTGTAGGTAAAATTCCATTTAAAGTAAAATTAACGGTGTCGTTCATTCAATATATTTAAAAAAAGTAGCGATCGCAAATCGCTATCACACGTCAAATCGTCGTAGAGTGAAGTTCGTCGATATCGTTCAGATGTTGAAATAGACTTACAAATATGATGTAGGTAGTTTTCTCATTTTTAAGTACAGCTTAAGTCGTCATTGAACCTTTATAAAAGTTTGTGCGAACTCTTTAGAATGTACAGTAGGTACTTCTTGTAAATATATAAAGAAAAACTTTGGTTAACAAAAACGGAAAATACGCCACTCTCATGCTTGCGTCAACCAAAAATTGTCCTAGCCATTAACATCATTTATTCACGCAATTTAGGTGTATATTATATAAATTACGGCAAGGCTATTACAAATGTTTTTTGTACGTCACACTAATGGTCATTGGTCACCAAAGAAGTGAGATAATCACTTTTTTTTAAAGAGGTTAGAGTTTGTACCTGCTAATGATGAAAATTTGGATGTAATAACTATAAGTAAATTAATTAAGTTCACGTGAGCACAAAAATTAAAAAGTTAACGAGACCATAGAGTATTATCATACACTATAGATAATATAGAATAAAGTCATTTTCCGCTATCTGTACGCTATCTGTATAAAATCTTATATGCAGTACATCTTAGTACTGCATATAAGATTTTAATACGGTTTTCATGAATACACAGAGGGAGATTTCTAATTTCTATCTATAATATCAGTAGTGCGAGCGCCAGTGCGGAATAATAGAGGCCGGATGGGGAGGTCCGCCCCAGGCCTCTGTTCCTAGGTGGCCTCCAAATGGCTGCAGTCATCCGCCAAAACCGTAATAACATTATATTTAAAACTATATGCACGCGGAGAGGGGGGGGGGGGGATCAATATTAATATTTTTGCCTAGGTTTGTAAAAGTTGTCGATCCGGACCTATTGCCACCCTGGGCCTCCGATGGGGTTAGTCTGCTCCTGGCGAGCGCCTCACCCTAGCTTCGATTCTAGCCATAGGATACGACATCCTAGCGATGTCATGATGATATTTCATAATTCTATTTTGACATGTTTTTTGGTGGATAAATTTGGGATAGATGACTGAGTAGGTAACAGTGCTGTAAAATCCATAATCATCGTTCATTATCGTTCGGTCGTCGTTACTAAAGTAGATGTCAAAGTAGTAAAATTAAACGAAATATCTTCATCATCATCATTAGCCCTTTTACGTCCCCACTGCAGGTGCTCAGGCCTTCCTTAAGGATGGTTAAAGAGGATGGGCCATGACTCTCCACGCTGGCCCAATGTGGATTAGAGGGTATTAGCGACTGCACATGCAGATGGGATCAACGGCTTAACGTGCCTTTCGAAGCACGTAGTAGCTCGAGATAATAATATTTTTGGTCACCCATCCCGTGACCGGCCCATGCGAAATTTGCTTAATAACGATTGCGGGCCGCGGCGCTTATCCACTACGCCACCGAGCTAATAAGTATCATCGTAACATCATGGCTAAACTCTCTAACCTAGTCCAGCAGGTCAATGAGGAAGTATTAATAAAAAACGAAAGCACTAAAAAGCACGTCCACTAGATGGCGACTCTAGCAAAGGCTGATTTTTGCAGGAAACGAATGGACCAAAGACAATCATTTCCGTTCCTTTTAACTTATAAATATATTAAAAACTGAAATTTGAAAAGTTCGAAACTTAGATATCATTAAAAATAATTAAGTCATTAATTTATTCATTAAGTCCGCCGTTTGCTATTCCATGCAATAAAGATTAAATAAATAAATAAATAAATATCAGTACAAATACAAAAAAGTACAAATAGAATATGAGTTGTTTATTGAGTTTTGAAAACTAATTTACTTTTAGACTTGAAAGAAAACCGGAAAGGTTGTCATGGAGTAATCAAGAACGTACCGGAGCGACATCTGGTTTGATTTCGGGAACTAATGTTTTTTTTAATACTTTCATTGTTGCATCTCTATTGAGATACTACTGATAATATAAGGTATATGGTAGCAATCCTGTCTTTTGGATTTATGGTGTACGCGCCCCCTTAAAAAGATAATAATATAAAAGAAAATTTAATATGGTAAACTGACTTACTCATTTAAAAAAAAATATTCGCAAACATTTTATTTGACAATTCTGACATGTCACAGAGGCTGACAAAAATTATTTGGTTTCTTCGAAAATTACAAATCACAAAGTTTGGCTTCTTATGGACGGACGTACTTATATAAAATTAATTAATTGTACGTACATGCTTATTTCATTCACTGCAAAATAAACGTCATACATTTGATTCTGTAATGACGCACGTCATAATAGACGTCATGGCTTGTGTCGATAACCTAATGATATCATTAAATATACGTAATAATTATGTAAGAAAAACCTAGTTATAATCTTCTAGGATGTGAAAGCGATCGAAAAAAGTTCAATGCGTCATAGAAGTCACGACTAATCGTAAACTTTGTCAGAAGCTAGGTTTCCGAAACAACTAGGCCGATTAAAAAAAGACTTAAATCAACGGGAAGTTATGTTATACGCGCGTGACATATGCTATAATTTAAGCGAGCGAAGATGCGGGTTTTTTATTTATATGTCCCGATACAATTATGTACTGTTGTGCAATAACATATGTAAATCAATGGCACAGTATAAGTATGACACAGTATAGAAACTAAGCCTATTTGATAAAATGAATACCTAATAATTAAAACCATAGGGTTGTCATTTTGAATGTTTTAGACATTGTTTCTTTTACAAAATATAAAAGGGATCTGACATTATTAATCAATCGAATTGTAATAACTAATTAACAAACATAAAATATACATACACATTTGTTCAGACGGTGATATCTACTTATATTATTCTATATCACTACATAATATAGAATAACATACGCGAAAACTGGGCAGTTTTGGAAATATAGCATACGTACAGGTCGAATTGATAACCTTCATTTTGTGAAGTCTGTTAAAAATCGGTTAATCTCAGCAAAAAACTATAGTTTAACATACGAGAAATAGTTTAATATTGACACAACTTGTAAATCTTTGTTTTTATGTTGATCTTTAACTTGACATTACGGCATAACCTTGTACAGGTTCTTTTCGGATCGGAGGCGTAATAGGTTTTAAATAAAAAAAATTTAAATAAAACGATCGCGGAACGTTTAATGTCACCCTTCGTCTCGACGCGATAAGCGTTACTGAGCGTCCTGTTAGGTCCACTTAGGCGGCTCGTCGGTGAGCGTGTTTATGTGTGCGTGCGATTTCGAACGCTTGTAGGCAGTTTCACCACTGTCTACTTATATTTACACTGTGTCAATGGTGTCACTTTTGACCTCAAATAGTATTAAAATGGAAGGGGCCCCAATATAGGTTTATTGTAAACTCACCGGGAATCTCGCCATGACTTTGTAAGGTAAATGGTTTTTGTTAATAATTGGCGAGAAGAAGACGCGTTAAGTTTTTGTGTACTACTATCTTACATCAGAACTACGTCAATCATTATGAAATCATTTTGATGATTGTTGTTTTTTTTTACTGTATTTTTTATGTGAAATTAATATGCCATGTTGGTCCCATAAAAAATCCTGTAGTTCAAATAAGTATCATTTTTTTTGTGTTAACTTGAAGAATTAGTAATAAGTACTAAGTCCACTAGGTACGTTCATCTATGACAAAAAGCAATAAAAAGAAAACGTATTATTAAATTTCATAATTGGTCTCGGACAATAGGGATGACGACTGGGTAAAAAAAAGAAATTCTATTTAATCCGTCGGTTTTATAATAGAAAAAAAATAGATACGTATTTTTTGACTTTAATTTAAATAGGAAATGGCTTAAAGAATAGGCATTAAAGTCGAGAAGTGGAGAGGAGTGTAAAATGTACAAAAGCGTGACGTCAGGCGATATATCAACTCCATGTTACGTAAAAAATACGTATTTAATATTCATCAATAATCTACCTAACGGACAAACTAACAAAAAATAGCTGCCATTCCTAATTAAAGCATATATAATATAAGTCTGTCTGGCACCTGTGTATTGAGTGTTAAAATCAAGCCTAGAATGACCTTCCAGCCAGAATTTTATCTTTCTTTAGTAGTTTAGGGTAGCTTAATTGGTTAGAACAACCGCTCAGATCGCAAAAGCTTATGAGCTCGAGTCCCATCTAGAGCATTTGGGACAGCTCGGCTTTTTTTTTACCATTTTTTTTACAGATAAAAGGTTATTTATACTTGTTTTTAAACGACTTTTACAACATTTGTTATCGTAAGAATAATGTAAACATTTGTTTTAAAGGCTTATTAATTATAATAAAAGTTGCACCTGACTATCGCAAGTGACCTATGAACTGAAGATATTATAATGAGTTTTAGAGCGTGTAATTTTTACGGTTCCGTACCCAAAGGGTAGAAACGATTCCGCTGACCATCCATCTGTCTGTCCATCTGTCCTAGGCTGATCTCATGAACCGTGAGAGCTAGAATACTAGAAAATTATGTATTTCTGTTGCCGCATAAATATAACATAATGACAGAGTTAAAGATTTTTTTCATTGATAATGGTACGGAATCCTTCTTGTGCGAATCTGGTCTTTGGCCGT